CGCTAAGCATCCGTCTCCTACCACGGCATTCGGCGTTCGAGTCAGCTGGGGCTCTTTAAGTTGTATTTTTTTAATTTTTAATTTTAATTTTTATGTTTTTTATCTTTTTGATTGCTTCTTATTTTCTGTTTGGATGGATGGGATGGCATGGGATGGCATTGCAAGTGGCATGGCGATGGGATGGGAGATGCCGGAGTGGGACCTGGGGAGCGAGGATCGTCGAAGAGGCTCCTCGGCGACGACCGGGTGTCTGCCTACCCAGATCTACGACTGGGATGGATTGGCAGTGCATGGCCATGGCATGGCATGACCTGGCATGGATGGCATGGGATGCAATGAGATGCGATTGGGATGGCGATAGGGGATGGGCATGGCGATGGCGTTGGAATGCGGGTGCGAGGGGATGGCTGGAATGGGAGGACTGGATGGAGGCTGGATGATGGCATGGATAGATAGTATAGTTAGATTTATGGGGTATTTTCCTTTCACAAGCGGTCACACTGAGTACAGCACTGATTTCCCGTGGCAACGCCGCGGTATCGCGAGTCATATGTATATAATTATATATATTAAGGCATTTCAGAGCAGCACATAAACATGCAGCATGGGCACTTGTCAGCCAATAGAGGATTCTATTATGGTTACCTACTAGAAATTGCTCTTACTAACTGGGACCAACAGCAAATAGCGTGAGTTTTATGGAGCTGGTTGATGAGTCATTTCAGGGCCACCTTCATTACCAGAGTATAGAATATCCAAAATACGTTAATATTTCACAGTTGCTAACCTGTTGACAGATAAGGATCGCAGTTTCTATTGCCTCAGAAGCTCTGCTCGAATGCCTGATGTTCTGTATTGTTGCTCTGTAGGTGTTGGTAGGATCTCTGTCGACTCATCGCAGCATTTTGATGCTTCTCCTGAATCCATCTGCCTTACTTAGCCAAAACCAATATGAGCTTCAGTATTCTACACACGTAGGAACACATGCACAGTACGTTATATCCACACTGTTCAGGATCCCACATAGCTGCGCAGAAGATCGATGATTAAATACGTACCTAATGTGCATTGATGCAGGTATTGCTGGAGCTGTATCGCCGTTTCTGAATTTCTTTTCCGTTGGCACTAGCATCCAGAGATGTTTTCTGCCGCTCTGTCACCTTTTCGCATTGTTTGTATAGCACCTGGGCATTATAATGACCATCCGTTACAATGAGGAAATCTGAATGGCTCTCCTCATAGCTAATATGTTTACTTAACAACAACTCCAGCCAAGCAGTTATAAACGAGTAGAAAAGATAAATGCACTCAATTAGACAATGGCGCATTCGGACTTCTGCCCACCAGTTTCAGTAACACATTTCGTTACCATTGACTTCTCAGCAGCGACCCGAGCGAAAGCCTACTACAGGAATAAAATAGCAAAAATGCTTATGTAGATCACATGCGGTCACCAACCTGTTTACCTCGTGAAGCAGCGCGTTGTTTAATATCCCTTTAATTTAAACTTATCAGGTGGGAATCAATTATTTTTTTTTTAGTTGGGTGTGTTAAACGTATGCTCAATACGTGAATGGTGGCCAAGCCACTGCTAATGTTTAATAGAACATATTTACATGCTTAAGCAGCTGGCAATTGATGACAAAAGTTCACAGTATACTTCAAAAATGTGGATAAGTTAACGAAATAATAAATAAATAACAATACAAAAACAATGAAAAAAATAGTTTCATTATTTTTGTGATAAGTGTGTTTAGTGTTCGCAAATGACAATGCTTTACAATTCATTACAGATCTCGTAAGAAAATTATGACCGTTCCTGTATTCACGCAGCAGTACCGATGTTAAACGTTACCGTTATTCGCTGCTGGGGCCTCCTCACAGAGTTGGTCGATCACTCCCTCTTGATTGCTTAGCAGCAGCGATTAAAGTCGTCGTGCTTCATTCATTACGCCCTAACATCAAGCCCAGATCCTGCCATCAAACACAAAGCCTCTTGATTGCGATATACACAGCGTTTCAAATTCACTGCTTGACCTCGAGCGAGCGTGGGCCGCTCGCGGTCACATTCTCAGCCTCACACCAAATTTGTCAAAACACTGCCACGCTGACGAAAATCATTTTTCTCCATCATTTTAATACACTTATATAAACTAAAATCTAATAACCCTCGCTTGGCTAGCGACACATGGACACGCAGCACCAAAAAATTATTACCACCTCACAGACATTTTTGGCCTGGCGGGAACGACTGATATATGTATTTATTTAACCTGACCTCTTACATACTTTTAGACAAAACCACCAGGAACTAATTAACAAATAAGCCACGCACATCACACTTACAACCACCAAACCTGAAACAACACTTATGTCACACCTAATTATATTATACTAGCTGGGGTACCCGCTGCGCTGGGTAAAATCGTGCTACTAATTCATATACTAATAATTGGACACAATAGGAACATTGGGTAAAATCGAAATATAGAGCTGGACACACAATATCCAAGATTTTACAAAATCAGTGTAATAAGATAATACGGCATGGGAGAACAAACTGTTACGTATGCTTTTATATGACATCAGAACCCACTTTAGAACCCTTGGAACATAATAGTAATACTGTGCAACTTGAGAAAAAGTTATGTGAACAGCATGTCACGATGGGTTTGCCAGTTTTCATTGAAAACCTCTGATAAACCCAATGGTTTGCGTTTATTGTTGGTGGAACATTGTAGAGATTGCGCTTGGCGCGCGAACTGTTGAGCTCACCACCGTAACAGCCTAATCCATTGTCAGATCGTAGGATGAATAACGCAATTGGGTATATACCGTACAAAAATTTAAGTAATCCACAAGCGATCGGAACAACATCGATTTGCTTGGTCGATGCTTAATAAGCAATCGACAAGCCAATCAAACTGATCTAAGCAAGTCGACGCAAGCATCGAGACTGATCTAAGCGCAATCGACAAGCAATCGAGACTGATCCTAAGCAATCGACAAGCAATCGAGACTGATCCTAAGCAATCGAAGCAATCGAGACTGATCACAATTCAATGATCAACAAGTAATTGGACATGATCCAGGACATATTGTCAAGCGCTTGAATACTGGATGGTCAATTGTTTAGCATTGGCAGTGATTGAGCAGCCAGAATCATCGGTTCTTATATTTATAGAGTTCTGGATACAGTCGTTTGAAGCACATCCATAGCAATCAGGTGTTAACGAATCCACTCATGTTTTTTTTTTTTTTTTTTTTTTTTTTTTTCGGTATATTACCCAGCTAACACATACGTTTTCCTAAACGTTTATGAGTTCTGGTTGTATTTTGGTTTGGTGGAATTAAACCTTCAAGAACGCGCGCGTTCATCACGTTTATAAATAAGTTATATATAGGTTAGAAAACACGGTAGCTGCACACCTATTAATTCAAACTAGAGTACTGAACGGGTTTATCTAAGGGTCCTGAGGTGGGGGAAAATAAACGTTATTTATAAACTTTGGGGGCTAACATTAACAAACGTTAGTCATGAAAGTTACACTAACCATATTAATTTAACAGTTTTTATATGATTAGAAACAACGTTGGCTGCCCTATTACTGCACTATTAGAAACAGACTGAAAGTTTAGGTACTGTTTGGAGGTTGTAAAAATAAAACGTGCCAATATCACAATAACGTTAGCCATGCATAAACTTGCACTACAAATCCTGCGGTGAATAAAAGTTACCCTAACCTCTAGCAATACGTATATTATGTTTTTTTATCAAAAAGGACCCGGTTACTAGATTTGTGGGAATTAGCGGCTATAATACCTTGGCAGCGCGCTGTACATAAAAGGGGGAGGCGGAATTGGGGTAATTAATGGAAATCGAGCTAGGTGGAAGGAGGAGGAGCAGGAGAGGGGAGGAGGGGGCAGGAGGAGGAGTGAGAGATATAGGGAAGCGTCAAAGAAGGGGGATGTGGAGAGGAGGGGAGTGGAGAAGGTAGGTTGCGATGGGATGATAGCTAGAGGAGGCGCGGAGAAGAGAAACGGGGATGTAGGTGCGGTTGGGCGAAAGCATAGCGTATAGCGTACCTAGCTAGTCCGGCCCTGTAGCATCTTGTATATCATTTCACTATTTTAGTAGGAAAGCATATATCTCTAATACAGGCATGTTGTATAATTAAGTATATATAGCAAATCAACGAACAGCTCAACTAATTTAGCAGCGCATACAGCCCCATGTTCTGTGATTCGCTAGGAAAAAAAAATCACGCCTACGGTACCAGGTAGCCGTACCTAATGTCTCGAGACTACGGGATACGGTAGTCCATGCGGTTGCTTTCAACAAAATTAACTGGCCGTTGGGAAATTAATCACCGATTAATAATAATCTCTAGGCCTAATAATAAATAAATTATTATTTAATTATGTAATTAATTAATAGCTAGCTATACTAGTTGTGGTTTGCGGCATTGATTGTTAGTTCAGACGCAAAATATTGAAGCAAAAGGTTATACACCATTTAGATTGTTCTATATCTGTTTTTATAACGTAATGCTAAGCCGGTCTGTTTTAGTTAGTGTTAGGGCAGAAGTTCAAGCCCATTTTCAAATAATCAGCGATTGCTTAAGCGATAATTGATTGCTTAAATGATCAGCGATGCGTCCTGAGCGCACTCGGTTTTGTCATGAGAATAACGCAATCGTCATCTCTTAGGATGATCAAGCGAGTCAATGATTGCTTAAAATAAGCGCTCAATGTGAGAGGATAGCTTAAATGTATCGTTGATTGCTTATATAAGCATATCGGGAGCTGATCGGGTAAGAATCGAATGATCCGATAGCCGATGGCTATTAAGCATCGAAGATCAGGTCCGATTGCTTATTATGCCATCGGACGATCGGTCCCAAGCAATCGATGAGTTGTGATGCTCATTTATTTTGTTATTAAGCAATCAAATGATCATCCTGATTGCTTTAATAAGCATTCAGCATAAGCATCCTCTGCACCATTGAGTGCTTATTGAAGGCACTCGTTGATCGCTTAGTGGATTTGTTGTAGACTTGCTTAAATTTTGTCGTAAGCGGTAGTATATAGAGACAGGGCCAGCGGTGGGTCTGTGTCCTTGGTATTGCTCTAGTGAATCGCTTGCGCGGCAACCAATGCCGCATTGAAATAAAGGAATGTTTTCTATGCAATCAGAAAAGGCGATAAGTTTCGATGTGCAATGGTTTGAAACTGTACGTAGCCTGAATAAAAAAAGTCGATAAGTATAATACAGACAGGCCAGCCGAGTGGGAATTTGTAATTATAAAAGAACTGTTTACTCATTGGTACGGTCTTTATGCTCGTTGATTTTGGGCAATCGTAACCTCTCAAACTATTATATACTCATACTAAGACTGTAGTGAATTTCTATACAAATATCTTACAAAATCAGTGTTAATCAGATAATAAGCATGGTAAAAAACGTTACGTAAACATTTATATGACGCACAACCCAAACGTAGAACACCTGGAACATAATGTATATGGTCGTAATCAGAAAAAGTTTATTTCTAACGCCTGTACGAATGGGGTTGCATTCTCATTGTGAAAGCCTCTGATAAAACATAGGCAAGTCGTAACCACAGGGCACTTGCAGGCTTTCGCTGTAAACACACCGCCGCCGCATTGCGACGCACCACTGACACATAATTATCCTGAGGCGTGCTTCAGGAGACGAACCGCTACGCGAGCGCTCGCGAGCGCTCGCCTTCTGGAACGACACGCAGCTCGCTGCGAGCCGCTCGCGAAGCGTTTGCGCGAAGTTCGAAGCGTGCTTCGACTCAGCGACGCAAGTTGTTTACAAGATGGCGAGAAAAATCTTGCCGAATGCGAATACTAACATTTCTGACGTCAATTTGCAGAATTCTATTTTTCAAAACCTTTAAAATTTTCCCAACCTTTTTTCATTCAATTTTTCACCTTTACTTCTAATTCAATTTGTGTATCAATTTCGTCTGACTAATTCGTTAACAGTACTTGTTCTTCGCCGTATTAAATTGCCCTGGTAACCCTCCATGGGCGCGCCATCTTTGATCAGAAGCGAGCTGCACGGCGAGCGCACACGCGACGCGCTCTCGTGTGTTTTCAGGAGGCGCTGCGTGTGTTTCACGAACAGCCGTTTCGCACTCGAGCGGCTCGCTCTCCTGACAACGCCTCTGGTTGGCTCTGCTTTACAGTACCGGTTTCGGTTTCACAATAGCAGCACGCTGATGCGAATAAGTGATCGATTTTTTCTGTTGTGTGGCAGCATGTACCAGTCAGTGCTGACAATGTTGTGAAGATTGATGAATGGAGGGATTTTTTCACGCGATTTTCGGTGAGTCTTGACGGCTTTGGCAGGTTTTTTAGCTACGAACAATCCGCGGGACCGCGCGGTATAAGAGATGGCCCTGTGAAATTGATCCAGATCGCTTGGGCGGTTTGCCGCCTTTAGGGAAGATACTATACGATACATAGATAGATAGATACATACGACTCAAATATATATAGTATATATAATATATATATAGATATATATAGATATATATATATATATTATATATAATATAGATATTATATATATATTATCACAGGAGTACATAATGCGGAGCAGAGGGTATGACACGCGTTTTAACGCGTTTTGCATAGTTTCAATTAGGCAATCGAATTGTATTCAGTGGTGTAATGCTAGTTCAGCGTGCTAGACAATAAAGTGGCTCACGTGCGAGCTAGCACGCTGATTTTAAGCTGTGTTGCCATCTCGTCCCTGGATATGGAAGCGCCCAGTGCTGTACTGTGCTTACCCACATCCAACGCCCAAGCCGGTCCCTGTCAGAGACAATAGAAACTAATCGAGAACGAAACATTGCGTCACGAGTCAATGCAATGGTTGGGGAAAACTGTTGGAACCTTGTCGTATTCAAAGACTTTTTTTCGAAGAACAATACGATTTTCAGGTAATATTGGTTTGTGATATGGATTAAGGAGAATCATAGCGAAAACAAGGTAAAGTTTGAAATATATTTATTACATATTGATAGAATATTCAAGTTGAAAAACTATGCACAAAGCTGGTTTAAAACGGTGTCAGTATACTCTTCGTCCAATGTAGCTGTACTCGTTGACTATATATGAGATATAGTATATAAAGGAGGAGAGAGGACGTAGACAGAGAGAGAGAGAGAGAGAGAGAGAGAGAGAGAGAGAGAGAGAGAGAGAGAGAGAGAGAGTGAGAGAGGGAGAGTTATCCATCAATATAATTATGACTGAAGAGGTAATACTCACTCCCAGGTTTTCATTGTTAAGATAAGCTTCCTTAGTAGCAAGCCATGCTTCAGCCTCATCAACATGCTCCTTGAATACCTGTTTCCACGTATGAAATCTCAGAACAATTCAATTTATACTTAACTAACAACAAATGGTAACTTTTACTGATGGCAGGGGTAGAAATTAACTTTTGAACAAGTGAGTCCAACGGACTGGACTCCCTATACCCTCAAAAAGAGGGAGTCCGTAGCAAATTGAGGGAGTCCGCAGTCCGAAGTTCTAAACTAAAGATATTAACAAAAGGACAAATGTCTGCCAAATTTTCTTGGGACATTTGCTAAAAAAATAAGAAAATTCCACGAGGCGAATGTAATGGAACGAAATAATTAGTACAGTGTAGTATAGCAGAATTTTCAGGGAGTCACACGGACTCCTGCATACGTCAAATCAGGGAGTCTTTGACTCCGGACTCCCGTTCATTTCGCACCCTGTGATTGTTTGTTGCACATGAGAAAATTACAGAAATTAAGAGAGTTCTGTACACGACTTGTTACTTTTCTTTCACAGAGAAATTTCACCACCGATAAATATGTTATGCTAGTTTAACAGATAATGAAATCACGTTTTAACTGCACTTTGAGGAATCAAAACAGGATCTCCAGGGATGGATACAGGTCAGCAGTTATAGAGTTAGCAGCAAGCCTACCTGAAATGAATGGCATTGACAGAGCAATGCTTGTGTTTCGTGCCACTCCTCACTCAAGCCTGCCTGTATCTCTTCCAGCTTCTCCAGACTATTACGCACATCCGAGCCTGCCACCAAATCATGCTGCTTCAGAATATCCTCGCCTTGACGATGCACACCCAGAAACTCCAGTCCACGACCTTCGAGCTCAATCTGCACACAAACCAAACCAATGTGTACACAAACCAAACTATAGTCTTCACACAAACCAAACTAGTCTTCACACAAACCAAACTAGTCTTCACACAAACCAAACTAATCTTCGCACAAACCAAACTAGTCTTCACACAAACCAAACTAATCTTCGCACAAACCAAACTAATCTTCACACAAACCAAACTAATCTTCACACAAACCAAACTAATCTTCACACAAACCAAACGAATCTTCACACAAACCAAACTAATCTGCGCACAAACCAAATCAATCTTCACACAAACTGAACTAATATGCACAAAAACAAAGCTAATATGCACATAAACCCACGGGGGGGGGGGTCACTATATATGCCGTTATTACCCCATGTACGTTCCAAATTTTGCGAGTTAGGGGGTGTTTTTCAACTTCTAAAGCGGGCCCGCGCGGGAGCAAATAGGCCCCCCTTTACAAAGCTAATCCCGCAATAAGCCCTCGAGATCGTTCAAGTCAAGCACCGTGCCCGCAGTAGGCCCCCCTCATGACGAACCACATAGTACCCCACCCCAGGCCCCGAATGGGCGGCCCATCCCTAAACAAACAGGGCAAGGGGAATTGGGAGCAGGATTGGGCGTTGGCATTCACCCAGCTTGCTTATTTATGAGAGATATTTGGACTCACAGTCACAAATTTAATAATTCAATTCAAGTTTATTTTATTACCAGGTTTTATTCTGCATTTATACATACAGTATGTATGATGGCTGACAGATTTTATGGTCAACAAGATAGACCTTCTCATTGATGGCTTGCTGGGGAGGTAACATGCACTTGAAATTTAAAAGAAATGTAATATATTACAGCCTCTCTTAATTGTATACCTGTCTGGGAATAGCTGCTCCTGAAATTTAAATTGTCATTTTTGAGAAAATAGAGGTGAGTTGTCTATATGCAGATGATACAATACAAGGAGGTTAGCTGTGATGCAGTTGTGACCAAGTTCAGTGCAATGTAACCCCAATGTAACTTAGTTGAGTATTTTAAGCTGTGACAAATAAATTCTCATAATGTGATAAATAATCTCTCTCTTTTCCTTCCTCCGGGGGGTAGGACCCCGGGTAGGACCCCGGGTAGGACTCTTTCATTGTGTATGCAATAGAGGGTGGGATATTTTCATTGTGTATGCAATAGGGGGTGGTATTATTCAATTGTGTCTGCAATAAGGGATAGGGTTTTCCAATGTGCAGTTCGCACTAGGGGGCCTATTATTTTTTAGTGAGAATGCACATGGGGTAATGTTCTAATAGAGAGTGACCCCCCCCCCGGGCATAAACCAAACTAGACTTCACACAAACTAAACTAATATGCACACAAACCAAACTATAGTCTGCACATAAACCAAAATAGTACCACACAAACTAAACTGATCTCCACACAAACCAAGCTAATCTGCACACAAACTGAACTAATAAGCACACAAACCAAACTAATAAGCACACAAACCAAACTAGTATGCACACAAACCAAACTTATATAAACACAAACCAAACCTATATATATATACACAAAGCATACCAATATGCACACAAACGAAATTAATATTCACACAAACCAAACCAATCTGCACACAAACTAAACCAATCTGCACACAAACTAAACCAATCTTCACACAAACTAAAACAATCTTCACACAAACTAAACCAATCTTCACAAAAACTAAACCAATCTTCACACAAACGAAACTAATATATACACACACCATATCAACCTGGACACAAGCTATACTAATCTGCACACAAACCAAACCAATCCACACACAAACCACCCCAATCTGCACACATACAAGCCACCTAAAGTGACCAGAACATTGCAGGTCCTTAACGACTTCTTACAATCCCTAAATCCTTAATAGCCGATAGCCTAACTAGGAAAAAATATGTGGCACTTGTACAATGCTAGTAAAAGCTTTCTACAAGCTAGATCAATATTACGATGAGAGTTAATTAAGCAACATCCGCTTTAGTGACTGGAATTGATGCAAATAACAATTGGTTCTATGGAAAAAAAATCAACAGGGTGATCTCACTTACTTCTAGTTGCAGGTTAAACATATGGTAGGCTTTAGCTGAATGTTATGATGAATTTTTGATTATCATATATTATGACCTTTCCTTAATTGTCAATTCTTTTTTGAAATTGTTCGTAGCTGTTTGTAGTTTTTTGTAGTGTTTGTTAAAAGTTCTTAAAAATAGTACCTTAATTTTACTTCATAGTGATTATTTTTGATCCTGGCAGTAGCAAACTACCAGACAAGAGACAGCTGTGCTACTTTCAATGTTTACATCTACAGACGAAGTCATACCTTCAGCTCCTGATGCAGCTGCAGCTGGTCTGCAGACTCAGCAACCCCATCCACAAGATCTGATGCCACCATGCGTGAGTGTAAGTCATTCGCCCACTCCTCCAGATCCCGAAAGTCATAAAAGAACTTATGCAGCTTTCTGGATTCATCCAACTGCTGGCGTCTGGAAGAAATCATATGATATTGAAGTGATCAAGAGAAAAAATTTCCAACTGTGACGGCAAGGAAAATGATACATGGAATATGATAAGTGTTATAAATACCAAATATAAAGATGGAAACTTATATGGAACTTATATGGAACTTAGCTTTAAACCAGCTTTTAGTCATGATCACGGATTTCCAGAATTCACAAGGAATTTAGTTAGCACTTTTTTATATAATACTATAGAAAGCAGGAATCACTCGACACAAAGAGTCATCCATATATAATTTATCACATATTGCTGTACATGGAAGAGTGAGAATAGGTGATGTGTTGTCTCACCTATACATAGAAAGCTCACAAAGGCTATCCCACTTTGCAATGACCTGTGTTTCTTTGTCTGAGATGGCTTCACTGCTTTCTGGATGCCGCTTGCGAAGACCAGATGCTCGCTTTTCTAAATCCTATTCATAATAAAAAAAGTATCGTTCATAGTTCACAATTTAAAATACATCATAGTATCATACTCCAAAACCATCTCGTGTTAAAATAGATATACAGTCATAATTAAATTAGATTATAATTAAGTCATGATTTTAACATATATCCTCAGTATTACTGAAATAGCACAGGAAATATGTCAGCTTATCTCACATGTTTTAACATTCATATCCGCTCACAACTAAACCATAACAAAATTATGCAGATATATATTCACTCCTCAACACACACAAGGTTCTCACTACAGTTTTGTGTATCTATACACAATTTATTTTTTATTTAGACTCGTATTGAAAGCCCTGTAGCACTTGGTTTGAAGTAGCTACAGCTAGTCGAAGTAAAGAAGGCTAATAGACTCAAAAATGTATAAATAGAAAAAAGCCATCCATCAAGAGCTTTTTCAAATGTCACTCCCGCACTGCCTCTTCACCCCAACTTTCCACCACCAGTGTGTCCTCTCCCTCCCCCCAACCCCTTATGCAATCACCATGCAGCATCAGTATGATATTTTAATTCGATTCAAAGTAATTCACAAACAGATAACAGTAAACAATACAACCAGAAGAATTTTTAAGAACGTAACAGCGGTTTCTGGTAAGCGAAGACGGTGTTCATTATTATTGTTAATCTGAAAGTTATGTGTGATGAGGATTCCCTATGCAGCTTATATTTAATACCTTGATCTGGCCATGCAGTGCATCAATGCCCTGATCAGTCATTTCCTGCTTACGCTGCAGAGTCTCAACAGTGTGCAACTCTTTCCCACAGTCTTCCAGTTGCAAGGTGACAGCCTGAAAAGATTTTTAATTGGAAATAAAATGTATAAAAATTTATAGTAATATGAAATTATGTTCTTGCAAAGAGGTTACTAATACCATGAGCGTATCTACAGACTGATTTGTGACGAGTTATTTAAAAAAAATCCTATAGATGTGTTGATGCAATTGATGGAAAACGACAGCATTTTCAAGTCTGTCTCAATATTTGCACCATTTCTTTATGCACTGGCACGCTATACATTTACAGTGATTCGGCTACAAGTATGTGTAAATATTTATAAATATTATAGTGGCACATAACTTCACACATATGTGTTTCCCTAATTTAGGCTTCAGCTAAAAGTATTATGAAGAAAGATAGTAGAAAAGGTCATGAGCAATGAAGCTAAAACTGTTTATTTAAGCGTATAATATTTTATGCAGTCTAACATGAAAAACTATTGCAAGAGGCAATGATGCATAATAAACCTGAAAGAAGCTAGGTGATTAAATGACAAACTGCTGTGACACCACACTCACTGAAGATTTTTCTTGAAATTCCACTAGTAATTAAATCATGTAATAACTATACTAAATGTGCAGCAAATGTACATAAGTATAAATATTTTGCATGCTGCAACCTCAAAAGCACTGGAAAGCAACTTCAGTAATACCTACCTTATGAGTACATATACAAGATATCCTTAATGAAAAGGCACGAATAACACACCTTATCATTGATTATCTCTGTCATTTCATCGCAGTCGCGGATGTATTCATGCACCTCTAGGGCGCCATCCAGCCTCTCCCTGTAGTCAACACTGGCCAGTTGCAGATCTGTCCAACTGAAAATGCAATTCAAGACAACTGAAACTGTCTGAGAAACATAATGTTACAATGCAAGAAAGCCTACCCACCTACACCAAGAAATATGACATCACAAATTTGCAAATATTTAAGCGAAAATACCCAGTGTATAGTGGGAACTCACTCTGTGTTTAGTTGCTGCAGTTTTGAATTCAAATCAATACTGTCAGACTGATTCTGCTGTTCCAGTTTATCTGCCAGTTCGTTGATTTCCCGGATGGTGTCCTTAGTCACTTTACGTGGCTTGATGAATTGAAAAAAACACATGTCATTGTAACAAACTGCTATATCATATAGCAATATAGAAATAAAAATAGTCAGGTAATATTCCACAAACTGTCAGCATGCTTTCACAAACTATACTGAATATCACCTACAGAATCCCTATCTTCCAGTTTCTGCAGAAGTTCTACACAGTGTTCATAGTCTCTCCCTGTCTCTCCAGCTCGCACCTGCAATGCCTAGAAGCAAACAAGTGGTAACCATCTCTTAACAACTTGTGCTTGGACAACGACAATTATTACTGAAGTGATGTTGTAACATCTCTCATACCTGATCACAAATATCAAATAAATACAAGGAACCTAGATAAAGTGCAGATCTACAGTAGCTTGGCGTTTGGGAGGACCTGGCTATGGTCACAACATAAAATCAAAGCCAGTAATATAAAGAATAGAATTTTGAGTGCATCCTTTGCATAAACGTTTTTTTTAGTTAACTGAAATATTGTGGCTTCTTAAATCAAACACAACTACAACTAGCCTACACAAAGATACACCCTTTCAGTCATTTCTTAACATGTAAGAATTTAAAGTATAGGTTACTGAACTGCTCCTCCTATCACAACCTGCAGAAAGTAAGTCTAAAACTACTTTTAGTAATGTAACGAAGGCTATATGTTAATACATGTACCAAAAAGATTTGGGTGCACACCTTTTCTTAGAAAAACCTCAAATCCGATATCAGACCTCCTCCCTTTTGACTATTCACCTGAATGTTGAAACTTCAGCTGTTTACTTTACCTATTACTATGTACTTGTTGTAATATTCATTATACAGATATAGAAATCCTTGAATCCGTCTAGAATACCTTGTCATGGATCCAGCCCGCTGCTTGGCTGACTTCACTGTGGAAGTTGAGAATGTCACGTGCCTCCTCTAGCAGCTGGGTATGCCCCTCAGCTGCGTTCTTCAGTGCCTGCCACTGTGTGATGAGCTCCTTCAGGTCATGCTCAATTTCTGCAGACTGCGTATGAGCAATCGCTAGCAACTCCTCGCCATTCTGTGATGTAACAAATACCATACAATACTATACAAAGTACTACCATACCAGTTATACTGGTATTCAAGGGGAAAATTATTAAAAAAATCACTGTGCACGAACAATTAAGAATAGATATAATATAATAAATAGAATAATATAATATATATAAACTGATGATCAGCTGCCAATCTGTGAGTACGATGGAAATTACGATCGTTGAGCAGAATTCCATAGGCAGCAAATGAACAAAAGACATGTGCCACGATCATAAGCCACGGTACCATGTTCAGAGATTGATGTCTCTATACCATGCAGTGCTTCTTAAACTGGTGAATGGTTCACCCAAGGGTGAATGAAACTATTTTGGGGTGAATGAAACTTACCCCAAAATAAAGAAATTTTGTCATGGGTGAATGAAATTTTGTGATAGACTCGAGGATGAATGACACTGTAAGTTTAAAAAGCACTGCTCTAAACCCATGCTACCATGAACATATGTATCATTGAGGTCTGAGTATAAATCCTAGTATCTGAGGATAAATGTATCCATGATGCTACCGGTCTTGCCAATTGCATATGTAGCTGAACTTGACACAAAGCCACAGAGTCATTAAATAACGCACAGATGGAAGGACATACTTGCACTTTTCCACTCATTTCTTTGCGTACCTGTTTCAGCAGCAGTATACGTGGCTCTGCTGAAGCCAGCTCTGCCTCCACTGTCTGATGTTTCTGCAGCTTCTGCATCTTTTCCTTAAGGCTGACGTTTTGTCCCATGTCCTGCTGCACTGCAGCTTCCACAAACCGTCTCTTGTCATTTATCCATATAAATGTCTACAAACACATCATAAACTGAACACATTAAAAGAAAAAAAACCCACCATGAATCGACACATAACGTAATCGACACAACAAAACTTGAATCACATGGCATGGCCCATGTCTTAATTCTAAGAATGGTTCAAAAACATTTCACGTATGCCAATTGAATTTATTTATGAAGACAATACCATCATGTCAAGAGCAATAAAAAATCATGACGAGTAATAAAGATAAGCAAGGAAAGATTGAGATATCTTATGGTACCTCAGTGATGTCCTGTTTAAAAGTTGCATACTTGTGGGCCTCTAACAGCTTTCGTTTCCTTTCGTCAGCAAGTTGCCTGACGTTATCACGTCTGAAATTCCAATTAATCATTATCTTCGAATACTTATCGCTGCAGAAATCATCATCCCACAATGTAATTATAAATTTTGGTTACAAAAGCATGCACGCGTATATGAAAAAAGGAAATAGGCAATTGTGATGGCAATAGCCGACAGGAAAATTAGAAACTGATCCTATTAATAGACCATCAGAAACTTAGGATAAAAGATCTACAATAAAATGATAAATGAACTAGAAAGGGCAGTTGTTGCCAACTACATGTATCCCCCGTGTTCTCCCTAAGATGTGTAAGTATACGAAGTTTGGTCGCGCTAGGTCAATTAGGGGCCGAGTTATAGAGCGGAAGGGAAATATGATCAAGGTCAAGGTCAAATAAAAGCCGCAGTGACCTGGTTTTGGTACGCGACACACATTCTCCCCAAGATGTGTAAGTATAGCAAGTTTGGTAGCGCTAGGTCAATTAGGGGCCGAGTTATAGAGCGGAAGGGAAATATGATTAAGGTCAAGGTCAAGGTAAAGGTCAAATAAAGGTCGTAGTGACCTGGTTTTGGTACGTGACACACCTTCTCCCTAAGATGTGTAAGTATACCAAGTTTGGTAGCGCTAGGTCAATTAGGGGTTGAGTTATAGAGCAGAAGGAAAATTGTCTGCGGCGGCGGCTGGGGAGACATGAAACCATAGTATCCCCGCCGACTTCGTCGTGGGGGATACAATTAACTGGAATAAAAGCAATTGCAATCAAGTCAATTGCATTGGCAGAAAGGTACTATGGCATTGCAGCTTAATAACAATAACTGCAACTTGGGAATTTTTATTACAAGGTCAGTGTGAATGGGATAGAAGCTTTACGACCTTATTATAAAGCCCTTTAACTCACCTGCCTACTGCCTCCTCCACAACCTCTATCATGTGAACAGCATCAAAATGGCTCTGTGAGCACATATCCTGCACTGAACATTCAAGCACATGCAGTTTCTCCTCCTGTGTTTGCAGCACTTTCTCAAAAGTCTCATGCCTCTTCAGAGCGGACTCAACTTGCTCAATATTTGTTGGAATCGTTCCATTGATTAGATATGCCTGTCAGTATAAGAATACAGTAAGGAAAAATGACGTATGAATGACTTGTCGATCATAATATCACTCTGAACCCCAAAACAACTATAATTACTGAAATTAACAACATGTTTACTGTTACATATTTACAACGTAAGTACACGGTATTCTATTTTGAAAAACGTAACATTACATAACACAATACAATAGACAAATACATACACAATACAGCAATGCAGTTTATTACCTCAATGCAGTGCCATGTGACATAACATAACACAACACAACATGACACAACACAATACAACAAAACTTAAAACAACACAACAACAAATAATGCAACAAGGTAATGGAACAAATAACTGTACATTACAAATAAGCAAACACTTATTTGTAGGCTTCTATACATACCCCCTGTGCAATGCTGATGGCCTCTATTGAGTGAGCATCCTTCATAAACTGCTGCTGCTGCACAACAGCATCCAGGTGTACTCTTTTCTCCTGCCATGCCAACTGAATGGCTTCCTCCAACTGCTCCACCAAACCTGCTCGCATTTGTATCTGCAGAATTTCAATGGTCTAACATCTGCAAATAGCTACTATATTATACCGACATACTACGATAATAACTGCCCTCAACAGCAAATAAGTACAGCACTGAGGCTCATAGGGTCTATATGTTACCAGGGTACTGCCGGAACGTATCCTGGTAACTATCTGATATGGTTAGGGTTAGGGTAAGGGTTAGGGTTAGGGTTAGGGTTAGGGTTAGGGAGTAGGCGTAGGCGACTCCCTAGACTCGTTAGTGGAGTAGGCGAGGTACGGTCCGGCATATTAGATAGTACCAGGGTACGTTCCGGCAGTACCCTGGGGGACATAGACCCTCTGAGCTTGAGCATAGCAGCACTGAGCTTACACCCACTCTTGCGATCATAACTTGTGCAGTGCATTCTACCAAATAGCAACAGATTGAGCCATCTTTCGATAAAGACAATCACATATATTGTATTACTTAATAAACGTGTTTTCCTAACAACACTAAATTATGTAAATAATAATATTTATGCAACAGTTGCTCAATTTAATTGGCATGTACATTTATGGCACTGTTATGTGACTGTACCAAGCCCTAGAACTCGCATTCATAGGGAATGTAAAAACAGACATTTCCTTCTTGAACTGATACTTGATGGCACACAGTTTTATACCTCCTCAGATGCGTAGTGTCCTTCATTAATCATCATCTGTGCATTGATCTGCATGCTGTCGAACGCTTCCTGTCGTGTATCAATCTCCACCCGCAGACTGTCATGCTCACTTTGCAATCCTTGTGCTGCCTGCAGGTTGTTTACTGATGGCTTCGTTGCCATCTCTGCTAGGACCTGGTCGGCCCACATCTCCAGATCGCGTGACTGTATCACACAATATTCACTATTATCATGTACCACTCATGTACACATCACCAAACTGATGCACAGTGCACAGATTAATCGACCATGAGAAGAAATTAGCAATATAGGCACTACAATATAAAATTCGCAAGAAAATACACTAACAGAAATCAGCGAAAAATTAAAAATCCCCTAAAATGGTCAGAACAAAGTTGGAGTGTTGAGGTTCATGGGACACATAGTGGTTTCACCTTAGCCATGTAGTGAAAGAGATCGTGAGCCATTTGCAAGCGATCACTTCTGTATGCTGCCTCGTCCTCAAGTTCATTCCAACGCTGGATCACCATTGCCTGGAGACCATGCAGCTCATCTGCTGCCTCTGGGTGCCCCACACACAGATGTTCACAGTCATTCACTAGATCCTATCCCACAAAATTAATAAATGTTTACTGGTCATTATTGAGCCTAAAGGTCTTCAGGAACAGACTCTTTAATAATAAAAAAATTTCCTTCACAATTTATTCTGGCTAATCACACTATATTGTTATTTGGATCATATGTTATTATCATAATACAAAAATGTACGTAGAAAGAAGTATAGTGGCCATAACGCTAGTATCAATCAACACGTTAATTCCCTTTATACCCCTGTCACACCTACTCGCGATCACGCTCACGCTCCCACTGCGACCTGAAAAGTATGAAAGCGCGAGAAAAAGCGCAGTAAGATCTCTGAGAACGAGTTGGTGACGCAGTGGAAACTGTCAAGGACGGAAGAGGGTCGCCATGGGCTACGTTGAGCGCCAAACCTCAGCGCTTGTGTTGTTCCAAATCAAAACAAGCACAGCAGGTCGGCGCTCTGTAATGAGCGGTGTAATGACGCAGTACAGTCGCCGTGGCAGCGCAAAGCAAACTACATGAGCGTATCGTGGACGTAGCAACAACGAATAGAAGCGACTTGGGGTCGCAGAAATCGTCCCCTGCGACTGGTTTGCGACTGCTGTACCCTCATTGCATGGGCTCTCCATACGTGCCTCTCCCGTTCTTATTGCGCCGTTACTGCGCTTCCACTACGCTTGTTACCGTTCATTCTACGTCCACACTGCGCTGCAACTGAGACTATGACGCTCGTAATACGTCCAAGGCGTTGTTCCTACGTTTGCAATAGGCTCACAGAGCGTTCTTATTACGATCCCACTTCCACTGACCCCCCCCCCACACCCACCTTTTGGTATAAATATGTATAATAGAACTTCATCTTCTATACACAATCAGTGTGCATCTGCTCTTCACCATGGCCGCAGACAGGCAGAATGTGCATATTGTACTACAGTTAGCACATATGCAGGCACAAGATGGCCAGGCCCTTGTCAACATCATTAGAAGGAGAAGATGGAGGAGGGAAAGAAGGGAGAGAAGCTGGGTTCGACCATGGTTAGATGTGGGGAGAAGAGTTCAGTTTGGTCACTATCACTGCCTAATGGCCGAGCTACGACACGAAGATCCTGCATCCTTCTTTAACTTCCTGAGAGTACAACCAAAGATGTTTGATGAGCTCCTAGCAAGACTTGGTCCAAGATGCACCAAACAAGACACCATGTATAGGAAGGCTATGGAACCAGGGTTGACGATTGCAATTACTATGCGCCACCTATAGCAACCGGTGACAAGCACGCCAGTATGAAGTTTGACTTCAGAGTTCCTCATAGTACCTAGGAACAAGATGCACTAATATATACACGCCGCGCACGCGCAGTGAGCGAGTTGCAAACGCATTGAGAGCGTAGTAAGAGCACAGCGAGAGCTACTTGGATGCACTGAGAGCGCACAGAGCGCAGTGGGAGCACACTGAGCGCAGTGGGAGCGCATTGAGAGCGCACTGAGCGCAGTGGGAGCACACTGAGCGCAGTGGGAGCGCATTGAGAGCGCACTGAGCGCAGTGGGACCGCATTGAGAGCGCACTGAGCGCAGTGGGAGCGCACTGAAGATCAAACTGGGAACGCATAGGATCGCATTGAGAGCGTAATAAGCGAGTCAAGAGCGTAATGTAAGCTACTGTTAAGCTACATGGTGTCACACCATGGTCACACCACGCCATGGATTTCCATGGGCTGCGCTTTTCCTCGCGCTTTCATACTTTTCAGGTCGCAGTGGGAGCGCGAGCGTGATCGCGGGTAGGTGTGACAGGGGTATTACGTAAGACTGCATTCACGGCACAATTATAGCTACATAATAACTAGACACTGACTAGTGGCTATTTCGTATACCCTTAGTTGGTGTTCAATAGCAATGAGATCATTTTGAAATAACTCATGTGCTTTCATCAGACGCTGAACAGAATGAATGTCACGTCCAAGGTCATCAGGCATAGCTGCATTTTTCTCCTATGTGTGAGCAGATTAGAAGGCAAAGATTAGGATGCATGAAAAATAGTCAGCAATCCTTAAACCATAGAAAAGTCAATATATATCCAGCATGTATACGCCTCACCTAAATAATGAAAAATTGTACATACAGTCCTTCGTCATGCCAACAAAAATGCTGATAAATGGTAACATCATTCACCTGTATTCGCAGCAAAGCATCACTGATATCACGATTGAATTTATGTAGCTCTGCAGCATTTTCCAGTTTGTCATTCTGCTCATTCACTGCTTTACGAAAAGTCTCCCATGCCTCTCTGAAATGCAATTAATCCAATATTGCCACTTTAATACTGCATCATTCCACAATTCTTTACTGTAATAATATAATATTAGAATTCACACATGCAACACATGCCCACACGCACACACACACACACACTCGCAATGCGTGCACGCTCTCTCTCTCTCTCACACACACACACGCACATGCACATGCACACGCACACGCAACCGCACACACACACACGCACACGCCCACACACACAAACACTCACTCACTCACGCACGCATGCACGCACACACGTTGAAATGAATTTAATTAAGGAAAACAATGGCATATGGAGGGGTAAACACCTATGCATATAAAATCATCAGAATATGATGAACCGTGATGTATGCCAGCAGTATACCTGAGACTTTCCTGCTTCTCTGCTATCTCTGCTGTATGAATGGTGTTTCTCAGCAAGAGGGCATTGCCGTCTTGCTGGCATTGCTCAAAGATTGATGCATGCACTTCTAGGTCATTTATCAACTTCCCATGCTTGGCCTGCAGCTTCTATAGCAGCGTATTACAGCAGGGATTTAAAGCAAGAATAAAACCTGATTAATACAACATACAACATATGAAACATTAAGATTTATCGAGCCAAAATAATGATAAGTAGAATGGTTGATAACTATGGATGATAACTAGTCACATAACTTAAGCCCCAGCGATACAGGTAGACAACAATGAAGCTTTAAGGGAAAACGAGATGAATACCAGTGATTACACGGAAGTGAATGCACAGAGAAAGATGGTAGTACATATAATTACATTTCAAGTGATTACACGGAAATGAATGCACAGAGAAAGACGGTAGTACATATAATTAAATTTCAAGTCGGGCCTCGAATTAAGCGACGAGAGGGGTAAGGCAATTTTTTGGGGGCATGTGAGAAATTGCCTTGAATTTTCTCTAAAATGGATGGGCACCGAGGCAATTTTAAAAGGCATCAAGGCAACTCTCAGAATTTGAGAAGGGCACCAAGGCACTTTTTTAAAATAACTAAAAACTCATAACAAATTAATACATCAACATCCCCTGGCTTTTAATGTACAAACAGGCCGAGTCCACGTGCAGTATTTAAATATTCGTGTTCTACCACGAGCATACACAGGCGCAGTGGCACACGATTTATCGATCGTCTACTGGCAGCGGTTGGCAGCAAGCCACGTTTACGGTTATTGTTTTTGCCGAAGGGTAGACTGGTATCCGGACTCACGCTCTGCTAGACAATGTACACGCTCTGCGACAAACAGTGCGGCCGCGAAGCAGTCTAGCCAGAGGCACCGACGGCAATTACAGAAAAGGGCAAGGCAGGTCACTGCCGTCGGTCGGGTTAGATTTTCAGGGGCAGTACGGCGATTGCGTGCACGTGTTTGTGCGTGCGTGCACGTGTTTGTGCGTGCGTGCACGTGTTTGTGTGTGCGTGCCTGTGTGCATGCGTGCACGTGTTTGTGCATGTGCGTGCCTGCATGCATGTGAATTACGATGAGGTTTTTGAACCTTTTGCTTGTAAATAACTAAAGCAGATTTACTAAACTGCTCTAGGGCAGGTGCTCATTTTTGAATATTTGGATTCAAAAGTTCCAGGAAGCCAAAATATGGAGTTTCTCCAGTGAATACTCAAACTCGGTAGCAGATTCCAAGATGCATGCTAATTAATTTCATGTATTTGCTATATTCCACAAAGGCTTTCCAGTATAATATAGTATACAGCTAGAGCTCACGGATTTAAAAAAGCACAAGTGATAGTTCATGCAAACCTCAAAGTGCTCAAAGTCCTGTCCTAAGTCCTCACTTTGCACCAGCTGCATATGCTGTGTTGCCCACTCCTCCAAATCATCAGATTCACGTAGAAACTCAAGAACATCTCTTCTAACTGCTAGCTTCTGTTCGCGCTCATGGGCAGCATCATTCAAAGTGCTTGACTGCGCTTCTATGTGCTCCTGAAACCAAAATATATTAGGTTTATGAAGATCACTTTTAAAAAGAAATAAATAAAACTGAACGTCAAATACGTTTATCTATGCGCATGTGTATAAACACGTGTATACATATGTGTGTGCTTTTGTGTGTGTGTGTGTGTGTGCGTGCGTGCGTGCGCGTGCGTGTTTGTGTGTGTGTGCTTGTGTATGTGTGTGCGCGCGTGCATACGTGTGCGTGCGTGTGAGAGTACAGATTTTGGTATTATGTATGACAGATTGTTTGACTGATACGTAGGTAAATACAGACTTCTTAAAACACACCTGTCGTTTCTTAATGCTCTTGCTGTCTGGATGGCCAAAATCAGCCAACTTGCTACACAGGTTTTGCAGGTCGGCTAGCTGTTTGTCATAACTTGCAATTTCCAATGTCAGTGCCTGCACGTGTAGAAAAGCAAAAAATGCAGTATAGATATGCTTTCGTGCAGTATAGATCTCTCACAAGGCACTGCTACTATCGATGTTTTTTCGTCCCGTTTGCTGTAGATGTACTGTGCTACAGCATACAATAATACGTTATGAACGTAACGCATTCCACTTCCAGTACAAACGTTTTTAACACATTATTCCGTAACATGAATCACATTATCACATTGACTTCCATTTATACAGATTCGTTTTCACGAGTTTTTTTGGCCAAAAGAAGTAGGTATAATCCCCTACCTCCCCTAAAAAAAGCACAATTGTGAATGCAAGTAAAAATCGGTGAACACATGTATAGACTATTTAATGATGTACAACAGGAAAGAGTGTTCAGAATAAGAATTAGTATCCTGTAACTGGAGTACACTGCATGAATGCATGGCACTGACCTATGAGCAAGTAAACATTTGCAAGAATATATTCTAATTATTTCATAACGTAACACAGAAAAGGGATCTGGGTAGAAATGCCCGTTTTATCCTTTGAATAATTACGCAAGAGCAAATTGTTGTTTCATATCTCAAGTAAAGTGATCAAAATTTACATATTATTAATGTATTTATTTAATGTATTTATTTATGTAATTTATTTAACCAGAGTTATTATGTGTGTATAAACTTTTAGACTCTTGGAAATTGTTCATCGTCGTACAATTTATCTTGTCTTCACACGTGAAAGTATATATAGATCAATACTGTTAAAGTTAGAGACTAACCCTAGTGATGGCATCTATATTCTTAGAACACAGGGATATATCATTACATTACACCAGATGTCTAGCTGTCTTGTTTTCTGTTATGTATAGATATTTCTATTTTTCATAGATGTCAATCAGAAAGTATTAATAAACAAAAGTATGGAAAGCCATCCCCTTCAAAAATCATTTTCAAACATTTCAAAAACACAATTTTAAATCAATTTAAAACATTTCAAATTAATTAATAGAAATACGAATTACTTTATATTGTTCGAAAAATTTAAATTCAAAATTTAAAATCAATTCACAGAATAACAAATCAATTTATTAACTTGCAAATTAATTCACAACTTTCCAAAATAATTTCCTGATATACAAATTCCTTCACATCATTGTAAAAATGCATTTTCTAAACGTACAATCTTTTTTCAAAACAACAAACCAATTTACTAACTTGCAATTTAATTGGATTAACACTGCTTGACATAATCACAAATGCTCTCAAATCTTGCTTCATGCACCCTAACAATTGGAAATTATAAGTTTTAAATTAATTTACAGAAATACACGAATCAGTTCACTAAGTTTGGCAAATTAATTTTTTATTTTAAAATTTAATCACCAGGAAATGCGAATCTAACTGTTGGTCTTCAGGAATTATTAGCGTAACAAACGAAATGTATAGCTTAAATTTACAATTAATCTACAGCTTTCAAAACATATATAAATGTTTACTATCAAAGAGCTAATTTAACAATCAATTTATGCAACGTCCAATCTATTCAAGACCTCTGAAATCACTTACTAACGTTTACAATTTGCCGCCCACTCTGTTGTTTCCGGTCCGTGTGCAAAACTATTCAGGAAACTTCGAATGAATTCATAGGACTTGCAATCTATTCACTACACTTTCCGAACCAGCCAACTACAAACCAAACTCCAAATCAATTCATTCTACAAGTGCCCGAATGCTTCAGCTCGGATTGATATGCTATAGAGGGTTCCGCGATTTTTTATATTACCCACAATGCAACGCCGCCGGCCCTGACGGATACAGAAGCCAGTTCAGGCATGGTACAAGTACATTGAGCAACGCACCTCTGCTCATTTTATATTCGCCTATTAAGCAAATGCATCACAACGCCGCTCTCCTGCGGTGTTGTCAACTGCAGCAATCGGTATCAGAGAGAGCCACACAGCTTTTTTAGGCTGCCTAGCGTGATCACAACACAAGGTAAAGTGACGAGAGACCAGGCGGACCACAGACGCTTGGAGCATTTTCAATAAAAAAGCAATGCTGAATAAGCACGAAATGTATTTACTACAAATGTCTTAATGTTTCTCTACTCTCTTTCGCCTAGTATTACTCACGCACGGCGCACACCGCTACACATTTACACTTATAATTTTACATACATAATGCTATATCGCCGATATCCAGTAGGCAGCTGTTTGAGTGGGGGTGATGATTTCGATTTCTCTTGCACGTGCAGCATACTCTTAATAAAATAGCACCGAGGCAACATGTGAACAGAATGCACCAAGCCCGGCTTTACAATTACAGTGTGCTGACATGATGCCTGTCCCATTTATCTCATCGTGACTCATGCTCGGATAGAGAGATGGTATAATCAGATACTGGGAGTGCATAACACGTGCTCGGATAACGTAGATGGGACTCTCACTGTTCACATGATAGATGTAGACTGATACACCACTAACCTAACCGCAGAACAGTGGATCGTAGGCATCCAGGCTTTTGTGGTTCTGAAAGTCCTTGAGAGTATAAAATGGACTCGGCTAGAATGTTAGGTAGTCAATTCACGAGATCCTAATAAGTACGTGATGGGCACAAGTTGTGGTCCTCGCTCCATTCTCGTAAGGGTGTCGATTCCCAATGCACGCAATTTTCTCGAGATAGCGTGCTTTGGCTACGTTGTCTAGTGAATCAAAGTACTTGTCCATACTACGTACACTTCAGAGATTTTCAGACAGTTGGCAAATGTGCATACACCAGATGTTATAAAACGCTGCGTTTGATAGCTATATGCAGTAAAATCGGTGAAATTTCTGAACACTCGCGATGTAAACAAACTCAAGTCCATGAACATATGTGTTGCGTGCAATCTCGCGACGCTAATATAAGCCCTGCGAAACCTGACCTGTGTAATCTCATTGAACTCTAGCGGAGCACCCCAAACCACGCTGATAAACCTGTCCCGAAAAATCGGGATCCACCTGCTACTAATATCTATTGCAATAAGAACACTATACTATAGCTAATGTAAAATCGGTGATTGTGCAGATCGGCCGATTATATAGACTGGTACACGCTCCCACCTCTCGGCTTAGTTACTCGATGGATGCATGGACCCATCGAGTAACTAACCCGAGAGGTGGGAGCGAGTACCAGTCTACAGATTACACGCCACACGTGTTCGCTCTGTTTGTAACCGGTATGGCCAGCGGCACGGGATTGTAGGTAATATTGCTATTTTTAGTCCAAGACGCGGAACCCTCTATAGTACGTATTGGAGGATCCGATTTTTACCACGCTGCGGGAAAGATGAGTTTGATTACAGCACTGTGGTTTACAGCTGCACACTACAGTGTAGTAACAGTGTTGCCCAAGGAGCGTTCAGCGTGACATCACGTCCAGGTCACGTGTGTAAACATAGCTCTGCTGAACAAGAATAACATCAAGAAGAGAGCATAACAATAAAAGAGCATAAACAACATGAATAACATAACTCTCTTATTCATGTTGCTTGTGCACGCAGCACAGGGCGGGCTAGCTCTAGTACTATAGCCCGCGTACAATGACTGCCGCAGGCAGCGCCTGTCACTACGGCTGCGGCTGCACTGTCACTGCGGCTGCCTGCGGCAGTCACTGTACGCGGGCTATAGTACTAGAGCTAAGGGCGGGCGTGCGGTGTACTTGTGTGTTGCAGATGAGCATTTGACCGGCATTTACAGGTGATTATAGGCGAAATAGAGTAGAGAAACATTAAGACTTTGGTAGTAAATACATTTCGTGTTTATTTACCTTTATTTTATTTTATTGAGACGTTCCACGTGCCTGTGCCGCCAGCGAACGCTTTTGCCAACCAGCAGAGCTATGTTTACACACGTGACCTGGACGTGACGTCACGCTGAACGCTCCTTGGGAAACACTGTCACTACACTGTAGTGTACAGCTGTAAACAAACACATCTTTCCCACAGGGTGGTAAAAATCGGATCCCCCAATACGTATCCATCCGAGCTGAAGCATCCGGGCACTTTTATAATGAATTGATTTGGAGTTTGGTTTGTAGTTGGCTGGTTCGGAAAGTGTAGTGAATAGATTGCAAGTCCTATGAATTGATTCGAAGTTTCCTGAATAGTTTTGCACATGGACCGAAAACAACAGAGTGGGCGGCAAATTGTAAACGGTAGTACGGTAGTACGGTGATTTCAGATGTCTTGAATAGATTGGAATTTGCATAAATTGATTGTTAAACGAGCTCTTTGATTGTAAACATTTATATATGTTTTGCAAGCTGTATGATTAATTTGTAATTTAAGCTATACATTTGTCGTCTGTTACCTAATAATTCTGAAACCAACAGTTAGATTCGCATTTCTGGTGATTAATTTTAAAAGTAATAAATTAATTTCAAACTTAGTGAACTGATTCGTTATTCTGTAAATTAATTTAAAACATATAATTTCAATTGTTAGGGTGATGAAGCAAGATTTGAACATTTGTGAGTTTATGTAACATGTTACCAATTAAATTGCAAGTTAGTAAATTGGTTTGTTGTTTTGAAAATAAATTTTTACAATGATGTGAAGGAATTTTGGAAAGTTGTGAATTAATTTGCAAGTTAATAAATTGATTTGTTATTCTGTGATTTTAAATTTTGAATTTGAATTTCTCGAACAATATAAAGTAATTTGTATTTTTATTAATTAATTTGAAATGTTTTAAATTGATTATAATTGTGTATTTGAAATGTTTGAAAATGATTTTTGAAGGGGATGGCTTGCCATACAAAATAATTAAAGATATCTAGAAAAGAGTACACTATATAGTGAAACCCCGATTTTACGCGCCCCGATTTAACGCGAATTCGGATATAATGAGATGAGTCATTGGACCTTTTTTGCTCTTGCCAGAACTGAAAAGGTTTTTGGTGAGTTAAATTCGACGCGACGCGACGCATTGCAACTCACTGTGACTGAGTGCTTAGGTCGACAGCGACGCGACTGACAGCGATGAGCACTTAATTATAATTAATTTCTACTGTAACACCAATTTATTTGCGAAATTCTTTAATTCAAAGGTAATTTACTTGCCAGAAGGTAAACGTGCAAAAAACGGGTCAAACAGTGCAAAAATACGAGTGTTTTAGGATGTTAGGTCAACATTTGGCCAGTTTATACGCTGATTTTCTTTAACCCCGATTTAACGCGACGCCGCTTTTTTCGCGATGACATTTTATGGACCCCAACGTTTGCGTAATATAATGGGGCCACACTGTATATATATATATATATATATATATATATATTCACACACACAGCATAAAGGTCATGAAAGAATTAATGGCTGACCTTATGTCGTTTCAGCAGCTTCAAGTTGGCATCTTCATCGCTACCAACATTTTCATTGTCACACAGCTGTCGCTTCTCATTCATCCACAGCTCCACATCGCCTGCATCAGAGTTATACTGCAAGGCAACACAGTAGATTTTAGGGTAGACCAAGGAGCAAGAGCTAGGTGTTATCTCTGTCACTTGGGTGAACAATATCTCTTCAGCAGGATATTCTATGGGAAGATATCTGAGCCTCTTTGCTTTAGATGCCACATTGGTCTCAAAGGGAATACCTGACACAAGTAGAGGTATGCTTTAGGCAGTCTGAGGGATGGTATGGCTCTATGGCAAGTGTCATTTTACACCATAAATTACAGGAGTATGAATCAATACAAGTGCCGCGGAGCGACAGCGCTCATATAACGTCTACTGCGGTGACTCTGTGGTGGAGTGGTGGGATTCTAGTAAACCCTGTTAGTCCCAAATGTGTTCACATACACGCCGAAACAGTGGAATGCACATGAATGGTATCAGGAACCTTCTCAAAGGAATGTTCGTTGGGATCGTTATGAAAGTTGCCACGAGATGGCGCGTACGTTTAAGTGTCTTCAGATTAAAGATGGAAGCTCCCATCATACGTAGTAGCAACAACTATTTGCAAGACAGAATAGGTAATTGCACTCATCCATTTACCTACGCAAGCCTACAGGCTGCAATAGAGAGCTGCCACCTGTAACCAATTAACGCAGGCAAAAACTACACAGTACCACCACCACATGCACTGGCAGTGGCATACGTTACATGTAACATACTGACAGTACAGAATGCCATAGAAATTATATGATTTAAGGAGCATAAACCTTCTTCAACCAAATTTAGCTTTTAAAATTTCACTGTGACATTGTAGCCATCAATATCATCGGCAATGTATAGATTCTACTAGCAACCGGCAGTCAAATTCTTTCTAACAAGACAGTAAACAAATCCATGTTTAACCCTCCTCTTGAGGGTCAAAAGGTTATCGACACTTACTTCTTCTCTTGTCAAGCAGAAGGTTACATTTCATGGTCCTTCAAATAAAGCCATAAAAATGCTAGGTCACTGCTGAAAACAAAAAAGTTTTTCAATACGCCTCCGTCAGACCATGTCTTTAGAAAATGTCTAAAATCTGCCCTGTGGCCCATTGACCTTTGACCTGTGACCTCCAATTTCGGCACAGTGATGGCTTTTCCTACCATGATGCTATACACCGACTATCAACGAGCCTAGGTCAAGCCGTTTAGAATTTGTTGCGCGCAATTCTGCATTTCCTCCCTATACCTTAAGTTAAGGAGTGAATGTTCCCCCTTCTTTTACACCTCTTGACCTTTGACCTTTGACTCCCAGCTTCGACATCCCAACTCGTTTTGACGATCCCCCCCGATGTGCCAAATATCGTGACCGTACGTCGAGCGGTTAAGATTTGTGCCCAACTGTTGACGGACGGACGCTCGCACGGACGGACGATCATGCGATTCTACAAGCTGCATCTGACTATGTCAGATGAGCTAAAAAGGGCAAATGTGAGAAGATCATGTAGTGCTGGGACTGCTAAGAGAATAAATCTTTTTCATAATGAGTGCCGCTATTGCTGTTAGTGATTCGAAATTACATATATACTCTACAATATTTATAAACGTACACTAGTGTATTACCTGATGCCCACAAAGGGTGACTTCTAAGTTTTGAGTTCGCTGCATGGATGCATCCTCCAACTTTTCCCAAGCCTGCCTTAACTCATAACATTTGTCCCGTATCTCCTTCTGGTGAGTCTTATCAAGACCACTGTTGTCGGCTAATATCCTTTCACCTTCTTTAAGCTTCATTTCCACAACTAGCTGATGGCCTTCCAATTCCTTTTTAAATTTCTAACACCAAAGAGCAAAGAGCAATATGTGTATATATATATATATATATATATATATATATATATATAATATAAAGCAAGGCTGAATTTACTGATGTTTATTTATTAAAACGAACTAAATAACTAGAAACATTTTTTATCTTTCATGTCTTGATCAAAGTTCATGTACACTGAAATGATTCTAATTCGAACTCATTACTGTCGTGAACTATGATCAAGACAGGACAGTGAAGTTCAATTCATCAAAATAAAGAAACATCAGTTAAACCAATCTTGCTTCACATTTAAAATAAAAAAATCTAAATAAATTGTAATAATCAAATTAACAAAGTTATGATATATTAAACATCAAATACATATTCTATGACAATACATTAATATATATATATATATATATATATATATGTATACAGAGATGACGTAGGATGTAAGATCTAACATTACAAAACAGCATGCTTAAAATTATCGTAGGTGTTAACAATCAAAAGTAGTAACCTGGTGCTTATGTGTCAGACTCTGAGCGTCAGTTAAATTCTTGCCATAGTCAGGAGAGGTTGCCCGTGGCTCACGATCACTTATCCATTGGAGTTCATTTTTGACATCAAACACAAACTGATGGCAACATAGTGTGCTTTCCAACATCTTTCTGCGATTGACAACAGGCTCCTGCAATTTCTCATATCTGTGACAAATGATAGAATAATAATATAAACATATTTGTTGAATATCTATATATTGACAATAATACTATATGATAACTGCTACATTGGTTTGAAAAAAATAATTGATACATCACACCATTGATCACGATATACTACGTACTATATTCATTTATGACGACAATATTGTGAAAAACATACTTTATTAGGAATTATATGACATTAATACATTCAGGGTTATTCTGCAGTTGCTTAGTCTCATGTCAATGATGACTGATAATCTCACAAGTTCAATTGCTTGTTTAGTTTAAAAGTATTTACAATGATTAAATTATAATGAATAATATTTTATATGTAGACTTTTAAAGACTGTATCATTCACAAACTTATAGCAACCATTATAGCAATATCTCTAATACATCTATAGACAAGACTAAATTTTGGAATAAGTGAGTATAACATTTCCTTCCTTAATAAACATTTGAGTGTCACATGTTAACTAGGATAATATAATATATAACCAAGTATATAATACCAGGTACAAATAAGTATATATAACTAGATATGAAATATATACGTGTCTGTCACAGCTTTCAATGGTGGTGTGGAATGAACTTCACTGCTTCTGCTTAATGCCACCGTTGGTTCTACTCTCTGCTGTAGTTCTTCCACTGTCTCTATTACCTCTTTAATCTGCTGTTCCACTGCCTTATGAAGCAGAGACAACATTATTTCATGTAGATAATAAACTTACATTAGCTGCAGAGAAAAATGCTTACATAGAATTTAATATCATAAATACAAAAACGTCTAGCATAATAACGACAATAAAATATGCATACGGTTTTCACGAAACACATTAATCGCAATTAGTAAGCATGGACCTACCTGCTGCTGAGCGAGAGCAGTGCGAGCGGAGTGCAAGTCCTTTGGCATGTCTTCAATAGCCACCACCTTTTCCAGTTCTTCCAGATTGTCATTTGTATCACGGATAATCTGAACGACGGTATGCTCATCGACTACGTGCTGCAAATTTGCCTCCTGCAAATAAACACCTTCTATAACATCAACAAACACTGTTGTTTACAAATAGTTTTCCCACAGTATGACCCTATTCTAAGAGAGTAGATAACTATAGCCAATTTTATAGGACGTAACTCTAAACGTTAATGCTGCATGCCCTGCGATGCGATCCTTCCCTCGAGCAATGCACCCCCATAACACATTTGGGATTTTCAACATTAAAATAATTTTGTGTTTTTTAAAAGTGACAACACGAACGTATGTAGCTTGCAGTATAAATATAGTTATGGGAGTAATTATCAGACAATGATAACTCTTGTGGGTGGGAGGCATAGGGAAAAGATAGACACAGGTCTTTAGTCTTATACCTTAGCAGCAGCTGACTTGTCCAGCGTGTCACACTGTTCTTCAAGGTATTGCAGTATATCCTTAATGTCCTCTGAGGCAAAATGATTCTCAGCAATCATCTTCTCTCCATCCTGCCAGTGTTAATTAATAACATAGCTTGATGCACAGTGTATATCTCCCAAAGATTTGGCATTGTCAAACGCATTTGAAGAGAGCTATGCTACACGGAGTTGAAAGATGCTACATATAGAGTGGTTTTCAGTGAGAAAACTTCTAGCACCAGTTTTGACATGTGTGTACGTGTGCATGTGCATAAGCGTGTGCATCTGGGTGTGTCTGTGTTCGTCTGCGTATGTGTCAGGTTCAGTTGATGTAGAGTACTCTGGCTTGCGTATGTAATGCATGCAACCTGTTAATCAATGTAATTAAGGTGTATAAGTGAACATAATATGTTAAGTTGAAAATCAGCATAAATAGAGAATTAAAAATTTCCGGTGTGAATTTTAATTCAAGGTCATTGCAAAAACACAGACAATGACAAATTTGTAGGTGGATGCTCAAGCACTCTCCCATATTCTTGGTGCACATTACATGTTCACTGCCTGACTTATGTACCTTCTCTAGCTCTTCCACCCACTGCTGGTGAACAGCAAGTTCTGATTTCAACACCAGGTGCTTTTTCAATTGTTTGCTGGCATCAGACCACAGCACTGGAACATCACCTGCCGCGAGTTCATCCATTGCTTGCTGCTTCTCATAGATCCAGCTTGCAACCTGTTGGCAAAAATATCACATCAGTTTCTAATATCTATATATGTCGCTGTCACACCCTCATGTCAAGTAGTTATCATATATCGAGTTTTTAATTAGACGTACATATTATGATACGTTAACTTTCTCTCTGCACTGAATACAAAACTTAAAATTAAATAAATGTTTGAATGAGTGAGTGAGTGAGCAAGTGAGTGAGTGAATGAGTGCATGAGCAAGAGAGTGAGTGTGAGCGAGTGAGTGAGTGAGCAAGCGAGTGAGTGAATGAGTGCATGAGCAAGAGAGTGTGAGTGAGTAAGTAAGCAAGCAAGCAAGCGAGTGAATGAGTGCATGAGCAAGAGAGTGAGTGTGAGTGAGTGAGCAAGCGAGCGATTGCTTATTTGAATGACTGAGCATTCTGGCCAGCATGCAAGTTTATTTAGTTGGCCAGTTCGTGGTCTTTTACTCAGTATATTTCAATCTATGTGTAATAGTCCGTGGTTGAGTAGTATATCAACGTTTATTCAACACCGTGAATACAAACAAAGGTGTAAGTCAAGTGGAAGCCATTCCGGAACTGCCACTAGATGGCGCGGTGGTATTCACTATCGTAAACAAGTATCACGCACAGTGTATATGTAGTAACCCAGTGTCACGCTATGACATCCCTCCATCCTATGATTAAAGGTACTCCTTTAACAAATTAGCACAGTAACCGTTACACCTTAGGTATGCGAGATAAAACACACTTAGTAATGCAACCAAAGTAATAACCCAAAACGTTCTTGGTGGAATGCTTGACATCATACGACTATTAGTCCGCGACTCAGTATTCATGGAGATTATGCATCATAACAATACAAAATAACCGAAAGACAACTGTGGGTAGACTGCCCACGTTATCTGGTGATCCGGGGTTTATTCTGCCCCACACTGGATCAAGCATCCGAAAATTATTCTGTCCCACACTGGATGAACAACGTAGCACAATATCTCAGAGGTCCAGTCTCGGAGGTGGTACTCCACGGGTGAGCCGGGTTGAGCGACGCACTGGTGGAGCAGCTAGATGTGGAGACGCAGGTTGTACAGCCATAGGTCTCCCAGGTGTAGCCTCAGGGGCAGCGTGCTGAGCCTCAGCTGCACGTAGGTCCAGCAGTGGTGGAACCGCACGAGGAACCTCACGCGGAACCTCAGGCAGCACAGGAAATACCGGCCTAGCTGGGTCCTCAACCTGTTCAGGCAGTGCCGGTGCCTCAACCAGGTTGCCAGTGCATTGTAGCAGGTGGTCCTGATGACGACGCACGATACGACCATCCTGGAGCTGGGCCGTGAACAATAATGGACTGATACGCCGCAGCAGATTACCAGGTAACCACGTTGGTCCATTCGCAAAGTTGCGCGCCAAGACGCTGTCACCAGGGTTGAATGAGCGATCTTGTGCGTGTTGTCTTGTGTTGCTGCTTCTGTGTTTCCTGCTTTTCCTCCACCCCAGTGCTTGTCATTGGGTGGACCAAGTCTAGCCTAGACTTGGGTCGACGTCGAAGCAGCAGCTCTGCTGGAGAGCGACCGGTGGTTGAATGCGGTGTGAGACGATAGTTCGAGAGCCAACGCCTTTCGAGTGAGTCGAGTTTGAAGCGAACCAGTCTGCATCCGCTTCATCCCTTCCTTGAAGGACTGCATGAACAGCTCTCTCCGCGAGGCCATTCGACGATGGGTGGTAGGGTGCAGTGAATGTATGACGGATGCCATTAGCTGAGATGAGCATGGCAAACTCTTCACTGGTGAATGTAGGCCCGTTATCGCTGACAATGTAGTCTGGTAGACCATGCGTGGCGAGGCAGATTCGCAGCTTCTCCACTGTTTTCTGACTGGTTATTTTCTGCATCATGAAGACCTCCAGCCACTTAGTATGCGAGTCAGCGATGACGAGAAACATGTGTCCTAAGAAAGGACCGGCAAAGTCCACATGTATGCGGCTCCACGGATTCGCAGCATACTCCCATGGATGTAGTGGTGCTTGTGCTGGTCTATAGATCGATTCATTTGACATGATACGCTGCTTTTCACTCTATCTTCCAGATCATTATCCATAGGCCACCACACATAGTTGCGTGCCATGCTTTTCATGCGTGATGCGCCAGGATGTGCCCCATGAAGCTCTTCAATCAGTGCCGCACGATGGACGTCAGGCACAACTACACAAGTATCCCACAACACACACCCGTTCTCGCATGACAATTCCGTTCTGCGATGGAAATATGGCATCAGTTCCACTGACAGATTGTTATCAGGCCAGCCCTGCAGCACATAATGGACGACACGTGCCAGGACTGCATCCGATTTAGTGTCCTGCTAAATCATCGCGCATGTCACAGGACCTTCTTCTAGGTGCTGCATCAGGCTGACTACCAATGGTGGTACCGGTACCTCCATAGTCTGAGGTAGTGGAAGCCTACTTAGCGCATCTGCATTTGCTATGGTTGTGCCAGGTTTGTAGATGAACTCGTAGTAGTAGCCTTGTAGGATGAGTGGCCATCTCTGCAGGCGAGCGGATGCCAGTCGTGGAACTGCCGTCAGCTCCCCCAGTAAACCTAGTAATGGCTTATGATCAGTGACAATTTTGAAATGTCTCCCCCATAGGTACTTGTGGAATTTCTTGACACCCACCATCATGGCCATTGGCCAATGCTTCTTTTTCTACCTGAGAATAGTTCTTTTCAGCTGGTTGCAAAGTCCTGGAGTGATAGCAGACAGGATGTTCATCACCATCAATCTCGTGAGCCAGGACCACACCTACTCCATAGGCTGAAGCGTCACAGGTCAGCAACAGGGGTTTACTGACATCATAATGCATCCAGATAAGAGACCATGTTGATCCTGCCCGCTAAGCGCGGATCTTGCGCGCAGTTCCGCAGCAAGGCGCATGCGACCGCGGGAACGTCCTACGAAAGTATCTCGCGCTGGCAGCTATTGATCCGTGCGCCAAATCGAAAGGCCGGCGCACGGATCAATTGCTGCCAGCGAACAGTCTCGAATTTTAGTGGGTCTAATTCACTGGCAAACATATGCACACGCCATCGCGCAGGTCTAATAGCGATGTTTCACGTGACGTCATAGATCAGGTCACGTGTATTTGTTATGTGTTGTGGTTGGCAGAAGTGAAGCGTGCTGCTTGACATTTACAGATGAATGACCACATGTTCTGATAGAAAGCGCTGTTTATGTAGTGCACGTACACGTGCGTGCGTGCGCACGTACACGTGCATGCATGCGTGCGTGTGAACTTACATGTGCGTGCATGCGTGCGTGTGCACGTACACGTGCGTGCATGCGTGCGTGCGTGCGTGCGTGTGCACGTACACGTGCGTGCGTGCGTGCGTGTGCACGTACACGTGCGTGCGTGCGTGCGTGCGTGCGTGCGTAGGCACGTACACGTGCGTGCATGCGTGCGTGCATGAGTGTGCACGTACACGTGCGAGCGTGCGTGCGTCCGTGTGTGTGCATGTACGCGTGCGTGCGCGCGTGTATGTGCCCGTATACGTGCGTGCGTGCGTGCATGTGCACGTACACGTGCGTGCATGAGTGTGTGCGTGCGTGTGCACGTACACGTGCGTGCGTGTGTACGTACACATGCGTGCATGCGTCCGTGTGTGTGCGCGTACACGTGTGTGCGTGCGTGCGCGCGTGTGCAGGTACACGTTCGTGCATGCGTGTGTGTGTGCATGTGTGCGTACGTGTGTGTGCAGGTACACGTGCGTGCGTGCGTGCATGCATGTGCACATAGACGTGCGTGCGTGCGTGCGTGCGCATGTACACGTACACGTGCGTGCATGAGTGTGTGTGTGCACGTACACGTGTGTGCGTGCGTGTTCTTGTATCGAACAATATCACGCATCTGCTTGCTGCCAACCGTTAAACTCCGCATGTGCGCATATGACGTCAATGTTTATAAACATGAAACATCGCTATTGAATGAGAATCACTGAAGAACTGTTCCGTCAATCACGCGAAACGCAAGAGAAATTCCACGACGGCGAAATATACAGCTGTGTTACAAACACGCAGCTAAGGGCCTGCATAGCTCCCAAATCCCATTGGTTGATACAAATCACGTACCTCAAACTCCTGTTTTATGGTGCATTGTGACCCTAACCCTAACCCTATAAACCAAAAAAAATTATTTGTTGTTATTAAATTGTTGTAAATAAATCATGTAAATATGGATAAACATAGAAATATACAGAAAACAGGAAAATAATGAATAAAACAGATGGGATTCGATGCAACGACATTTCAGCCGTGTCGTCTCTGCTCTAGGCGTTCAGCTATTGAGGCATTGGGTTTTTGTGTTATGGATGTGCCTTGACAACACTGTGGCGTCATTGAGGAGTTTGAGGCACGTGATTTGTATCAACCAATGAGAATTCGGAGGGCCACGTCACCGAGTAAACATCGTGAGTGGCATGCGGTGGGCATAGTCATTGAGGTCAATAGGGTTATTTAAGTTTTATTATAGTTTTCCAGGTGCTTTTAAATGCCAACATTTTTCAACGATGCTGCGATGACATGCTTACCAGCAAACGCTGTGTCAAGTCAGTCACTGTTGCCCACGAATTCAGATTAGACGAATTCCCAGTGAATTCCCATATGTAATTCCCTGTTTTGCATTAAATTGCCAGTAGGGGGAGCGTGCCGCTGCATATATGAACTCAAACCTTCGGTTTGCACAAGGACGGGGCGTCCGGGGGCACCACTAGTCAAGACAGGAGCTTTGCGCAGGAGCTCCTTGGCAGCATTGAAGGCTCGGTCTTGATCGGTGCCCCAACTGAACACGTATCCCCTTTTTTAAGAGCCGATGCAGTGGTTCAAGAGTGTTTGCCAAGTGTGGTACGAACCGCAGGTAAAAGGTCAGCATGCCTAGAAAAGCCCGGACTTGTGTCACATCTTTGGGCTTTGGTGTGGCCACAATTGCGAAGACCCTGTTGTCCAGTGTAGCCAGACCATCCTTGCTGATTTGATGACCAAGGTACTGCACGGATGTCATGTCGAAACAGCACTTGTTCTTCTTTAACCGCAGACCAGCCTCAGCTAGCCGTTGAAGAACTACCTTCAGATTGGCCTTGTGTTCTTCCTCAGAAGCGCCAGACACGAGAATGGCATCAAGGTATACAGCCGTGCGAGGGATTCCTGCCAGCAGATTCTCGATCACCCGCTGGAAAATCGCTGGGGCCGATGAGATTCCAAATGCGATTCGATTGTAAACAAATAAGCCTCTGTGAGTGTTTATGGTACTATATACTGCTTACTCTTCTCATCAAGCTCAATTTGTTGGTAAGCATGTGTCATGTCTAGCTTGATGAACAGCACACCTCCCGACAGCGTAGCAAAGAGATCTTCAGGTGTCGGAAGTGGATAGCGATCTACATCTGCAAATCGGTTCACCGTGACCTTATAGTCATCACATATGCGTACCCTGTTATCAGATTTTAAAATAGGCACAATGGGTGCTGCCCACTCAGCAGAAACCACCGGCTGACTGATGTTTGCCTCAATTAGGCGGTCAAGTTCCTGATCAATCTTGGGCTTCATCAGATATGGCACAGTCCTAGCCTTACAGAAGACTCGAGTTGCATCCGGCTTCACATGAATTGAAGTGGTCACATTCTTCATCGAGCCAAGTTTGTCACAAAACAGCTCGGGGTACCAAGAGCTCGGGCTCGAGTCAGCTCGGTTCGGCTGCTTCTCCTTTAGCAGGTGGATTGTCTGCCAATCCAGTTGTAGAGTGCGTAGCCAGTTTCTCCCCATGAGAGTAGCGCCCCCTCCAGGGACCACCAACAACGGTAAGGTTGCTCGCTGGTTGTTGTGCTCGACAGAAGCTTGGAACTCTCCGCAGGTGTGTACTGGCTCACCAGTATAAGTTCGAAGCTTGACTGTGCTTGGCTGCAGTTTAGGCTTGTTCCGGCCAAATATATTCCGATATGTTTTTCCCCCTATGAGCGAGAATTAGGCACCTGTATAAACTTCCATCGGTAACATTTGGTCATTCATCTTGACCTGAACGATGATCAGAGGCTCTGAACGAGCGCTGCTGACTGTATAGACTGAGTAAAGCTCCTCCAATGCCGCAGATGATGCGGGCGTCGTCTCAACCACACCTGTGCGATGTGTCCTGTTTTGCCGCAGCTGAAACAGGTTTCACTCTTAAAACAACAACTATTCGGTTGATGCATACCCCCGCAGCGGTAGCATTTCGAGCAGAACGGGCAGAGCGACTTCCCTTCTGTTGCTTGACCATGTTTACGCGGGCCGGGGTGCACCGTGGTACTGCTGCGTTGTCCGGAGCTACTCTGTTGCCTAGAGTTAGGTTGAATATTACTGTGCTGGCCAGGGTTCGGACGAGTACAGATCTTGTTGGCAGCAGTGGGGTGGGCACACTTTTGAATATCCTGAGCATTCTTGCTCGCCAACTCCAGCGCTGTCGCAATTTCTAGGGCTTTCTTTAAATCTAGCTGCAACTCTTGAATCTGGTTCTCAGCTAGCAACCGATGCTGGATTCACTCACTCATTACGCCAATCACTAACCTATCCCGCAGCATCTTGTCCAGCGCCTCGCCAAAATTACAGTGCTTGGACAGTACTCAGTCCTGCCATGAACCCAGATATCGCTTCAGATGCCCCTTGTACCCTGGTGTGAAATTTAAACCGTTCCACTATCTCGGCAGGTTTTGGCAAAAGGTGTTCCTTTATCACGTCAATTAACTCCTCATAGAGCTTGGTGGGTGGGTTATCCGGCAAGCCCAAATTACACAGCAGGATGCATGCCTCTGCCCCCATTACGGCCAATACTACAGCCTGTTTCTTTACGGTGTCACTTTCCCCCGGGCGTAGAGGGAGGGTGCCGCTACGTGGCAGCACTAGTGTTAGGATTAGGGTTAGGGTCAGGGTTAGAGTTAGGATTAGCGTTACGGTTAGGGAAATAAGGCCATGTCTAGCATGGAAGTATGACTGTGGAATGACGGAAGTGTACGAAGTGACTAGTGCTGCCACGTAGCGGCACCCTCCCTCCAGGGGCAAATCCAGAGGGTTTGGGTGACCAGTTTCCATAGTTCTAGTCACAGCTAGGGGGGTCCGGGGGCATGCCCCCAAGGAATTTTTAAAAAATTAGGCTATATTTGGTGCATTCTGGTGAATTTTGAGGGTCAATTCTGAAGATACCCAGTCTGTGACCGGTTTCTGGAAACTGGTGCAAACCGGCCTAAATCCGCGCCTGCCCTCTACACCCGGGGGAAAGTGACACCCGTTTCTTGAACCCAGAAATATCATTCGCAATGAAGAAATTTTCGAATCTTTCAATATAATGGTCCTCACCATTCACCGGGTTAAATGCCTCCATCTGTTCTATAGTGACCATAGCTAGTTTTATCCTCATCGCCAATGTAATAGTCCGTGGTTGAGTAGTAAATCAATGTTTATTCAACACCGTGAATACAAACAAAGGTGTAAGTCAAGCGGGAGCCATTCCGGAACTGGTACTAGATGGCGCTGTGGTATTCACTATCGTAAACAAGTATCACGCATAGTGTATATGTAGTAACCCAGTGTCATGCTATAACACTATGAATTAAGTGCATAAATGTATAAATTCTTGATAAATAAATTTTGACATGAACAACAAATGTGAAATTTATGATGTAAAATATAAGTGCTACATACTATACATTTTGAGTTAGTGTGTATCAAGGCTATGATGTATCATACCTCATTTGCATTTTCCTGGAATTTTTTGTAAGCTAATGATTCGCCCAAAGTCTGTTTCCGAGTTGAACTCGCTGCTCTGAAATCATCCCATCCTTTTTGAACTTTGAGGTACCTGAGTTCAATGCTGTCCAAAAATGGCATAATTAAGTTTTACTGCAAAAAATGGCTTGAGAAAGTGTCAAACATACAAGAAATAATTCGATAATATAAGTATGCCAAGAAATAATTCAACCATATTAGTATGCAATGATACAAACGTATTCACAACTAGATGGCACGTACTGCTTATAATTATAATATCACACATACAGCATGACATAGCAAATACTCATCCTGGAGTTCAGGTGAGCCAATTATATTTATAATTACATACTAGTCAGAAGCTGGGTGATTAGCTGCAATAAGTCCATCTGCTGATAGTGAGAACTTGTCAATTCGGGCTTGCTGGACTTGCACCTTATTATTCATGTCTTCATGCCTCCTGATTAGCTTCTGGACATCATCAACTGAACCCTGTTATTGACAATACGACCTAGTTAGTATAGTTATACACTGTCACGGTGATAAGTAACAGAACCTGGTTACTAATCGTACACTGTCACTGCCCCGAATAACAGAACTTGGTTACTAATCGTACACTGTCACTGCCCCGAATAACAGAACTTGGTTACTAATCGTACACTGTCACTGCCCCGAATAACAGAACTTGGTTACTGGTTGCATCCTCGCTGTTAACAAAATGGGATAAACTGATTAAACTGTCTATCAATAACCTATAATCAATAACAGGACTGGGTTAATAACCAGTGACCATCACGAATAACAGAACCTGATTCATAATGGTCACTATCACCATTATGAGAAGCTGGTTAATTACGAGTAACACATTGTTACTGTTGTAATGAAGCAGAAATCATGAGAGTGAAATTTAATATCAAAATGTAGGAATATAGAGCACAAGCGACAGTGGCACGCGTGGTAGAGAACTTAGTTAAAGATACGATGATTATAGAAGCGTCCAAAGGCAGATTAAATAATTAACACCATAAAATTAATGCTAGGAAGATTGGTAACCGTTGCCTCGGCAGATGTTGCGATTAGTTTTAGAGGGCCACGGAAGGCGTTAGATATTAGCGAATAGCGAGCACGCAGTAGAGCGGGCCAAGATATAGTAATTAGCCACTGTCACAAAGCAACGCATGCAGAATAAAGCAACTAGAGACATTTTGGCAGCCAGCCAGGGGCCAAAGGGTTGGGTTTGGACACAGTCCAAACTGACGTAAGATAGACCAGCTGGTCACTAATCACACTAATGTCCGACGCCGAACCAATAGGACAGATGGCCAAAGTGGCCAGCAAGGCGAGAAGGGACGCGCCCAACGAGAAGGGCACGCCCAGCTAGAGGTATAAAAGGGGATGCAGGGAGAGAATGTGGCTGGTTGTGACGACACAGTGCTGTGCAAAATAAACCAACGTTTTACCTGTGACATCGATCCTACTGTTCGCTTTATAACCGACTTGAATTTATTCGACACTACACTGTTATCAATAACAGAACCTGGCAATTACTAGTCACACATTGTCGCTGTCATCAATAACAGAACCTGGCAATGACTAGTCACACATTGTCGCTGTCATCAATAACAGAACCTGGCAATTACTAGTCACACATTGTCGCTGTCATAAATAACAGAACCTGGCAATGACTAGTCACACATTGTCACTGCCATAAATAACAGAACCTGGCAATTACTAGTCATACATTGTCGCTGCCATAAATAACAGAACCTGGTAAATGACTAATTCCATAATGCCTGCACCACAAAGATTCAGGCTAACATGATATTTGCCAAAAAATTGGGGGTGATCAGCACTATAGCTCTTACCACTATGCAAATATATTAGATGACATCTGTGAGTAAATAACTATACCACACAATCAAGTATCTGCATGCTTACACCAAGTTCATTTGGGTTCAGCACTCGATCATGGCTTGTGATCAATGTCTCCAGGTAGTCTGCTTCTTTGTGAAACACCTAGAAATGAATATTAATGGCACTTCAAATTGTTTAAAAGTAAATTGCAACACATGTTAATTCATTTTTGTAAAATAAATACTTTGTTATAAATACGTTTGCATATAGCATCCATCGATTTGTGAATTTTAACCATTTAGGCTGTCAGACTAGGTAAGAGTTAGGTTTGCCAGAAAGTGACTGCATGGCCCACCAGACCCTCGTTCATTGCCGACCTGTAGATCATAGTTCTGCTGCAGTTTATGTTGTTTAGCAAGCCATGCATCATTCAATTCAGTATGAGTTTTGTCCACATCAGCCAAAATGTCTTGAAGTTCGTGCAGGCCTGGTGACTTGTCAATCAGTTTGGCACCAGTGGTCTTTATCTTAGCAAACCTGCAACAATACAAAATTAATTATTATTTGGCTTGTTATCTTTAGGTTGGCCGATTATTGCACAGTCACATGAAATATAATAACTCAAGACACAATAGTTAATTTCATTTGCATCGTGGTTAATCGGTAAAGCAGTAATTATGCTGCGTGCTCATTAGAAACATTGTATGTTTTAGTCATTTTCTAAAACAGACAGTGGACAGCTGAAGTCCAAACAAGGTATAATAATAACCAGAGAAGGAGAACTAGAAAAGTGTGGCCAGAATGTGTGCAGCCATACAGAGATAGAGGTAATTCCCCAAGACGTGCATCATCATGCAGCGATATTAGTATCATCACATTTAATCATAACTAAGTAATCGCACAGAGTCACTGTAACCTGCATGCAGCAGGAATAACAGCTAGTCAACAATGTGTGCCATCATGCAGGTAGCTGCAGTTGAAGAATAACAGAAGCAGTTTGAAATAGCATCATTCGACTTGCTTTAGTGTTCTGCACACATCTAATCTATCTGTGTTGAATGCTATTCATCCCCATCTTCACGTATATGCTGTGATATGCTGTAAAGCATACATGACACACAGCATGGTAGAGTTTCTGCTATCATAGGGAATATACCCACACCAACAAAATCGTGTCAACGCAAATACAGCCAAATAACAACTGCATCAATCATAACACATACATTGAAACTACATTACGCATCATGTACACACAGTATGTGTTTACGCAACCAGAGGATATGTGATACTAGCTCGTTTAACGAAGTTATAGTAATGTGTCCGGATGGTGTTAGTGGAATGTAGTGGAGTGGATGGGAGAAAGTATATAAGGGGAAAAGGGTAGAGGAGGAACCACAAATATGGATAGAGTGTAGCAGGGATGTGATACAGATAAGTAAAAGAGGAGAAGGGTGGAGGAGGAAGGTGGGAGAGGAGGAAGGAGGCGCAGGAGTGGGAGGAGGTGAAGGAGGCTGAGGGAGAAAGTGGTATATGATGAGGAAAAACAAGGGAAGGTATATATAAGATTTATATTAGGGGAATTATTTCCCCGACATAACTGAAAGAAATTTATGACCGAAGCTATACAGATCACTTACTCATCTTCTTGAGTCTTTATCTCACTATGAAGGTTCTCATGAGCAGTCAACTGTACCTGAGCAGATGCCACATCTCTTGCAGGCTCCTCTTCACTCAACGAAGCCTTGATGTCACTAGACCACAACAGCTGGAAATAACAACATACGGAACATTGTGGTCAAACGTCTGAAACTTTTTAGAGTTGAATTCGTTATATTACCTCAATATATATGTCACTACTTGAGATTTCTACCAATGATGTAGCAGGATTCCAGCAAGACTCGCATTCCAGTTTTTCATGGCAAGACAAGTGTTTGTATTAGTCCTAATGAGTTTATTTAAGCATTACGCCATTTACAGCATTTACTTCATATGAGGGAAACCATGGCAACTATTAGACAGACAGGAAAACATGAACAACTATTGGAAGGTCATGCTACTAAGTACTAAGTCGGGCAGCTATATGGCACATTATTGCTGCTAATATCATATGATTTTAGGGGCACCGGGGAATGTCCGTGAACCATGTCTCTTGCTGTCAGTGCCGTGGTGAATTTCGAGTCCCGCAACCAGCATGTTAGGTTGTGCACTCGCAATAATATTACATAGTGGTAGATCAAGGGTTTTAAAGGCAGTGCAAGGTTCACAAATGGATTGCAGAGCATCATAGTTTATGTGTAACAGTGCAGTTATAGGCACTAACAACAAATAAATTAAAATGAAATGCAGAATGCTCATAACTTATTTAGTTAGCAATACATTCTATCAAAGGTAACATGTAAAGTAAAAAAGTGTGTCATTGGGCACAATAGAAAGAGAGATATGTAGAGTAGTTTAATCAAATAAATGTATATAAAAGAATATAAACACATAAACTAATTAATGTACGTACAAGCTCTTTTGCATCGGCTAACAATATTTTCTGCCCATAAACCACGTGGAGCTCTCTCTTCTGGTCAGCACATTTTTCCTATATATGCATATCAAGAGAATATTAAGAATGATGAAATTAGGTATGAATACAAAGGTTTTTAATAAAAACAATTAAATGAATAATTACAATTTTGTGTTTATTTACTTTGTTCTAGTATAAAAGAAAATAACTAAACACCAAAGCAGCCTATCTGGTAACCATCAGTAGCTGATCAATTGATACCTAATGACCGAATGCCTCTATGTAAAAAACAAACCCTTCTCATACACCTAACAAAGAAAATTAATTAGTTTAAAACCTCCGAGCTTATGGTAACAGCTTGCTGAAGTACAGTAATGCTAGGGGCACACGAGCGTATTTTATCGCCCGATCGCGGCGATTAAAATCGCCAGCGAATTTAATCGCCCGATCACGAAGGGGCACACGTAGCGAATTTGAGAGCGTACGCGTACGCCACTCGACGGAATCACATGATCACATGATGCATCACATGATATCAACAACACGTCCGATTGGTTTAGAAAAATCGATCGGGCGACAATATACGCCGGACACGGGCACACGAGCGAATTTGCCAGTAAATAATCGCCGGCGTAAGTAATCGCCCGAAAATATCTAACATTTTGGATACGGGCGATTCGTACGGGCGATTAAAATCGGCGTCGACGTGAACGGGCACACGGGCGAATTTTTCGAGCGATTTTAAAATTCGCGGCGATCGGGCGATAAAAATCGCTCGTATGCCACCTTTAGACTCATTATGATTGTGTGAAAGCAAGTGACATGGAAACAGTTATGAATGAGATCCAGTACCTGTAAGTCGGCCCACATTTTCTGAAGGTCAGCCTGTCTGCTATCAACGTGCGCAGTTTCAGAGGAAGAAGACCTCCTAACACTAGGAACACAAGTATTCACTTTGGAATAAATATGAAATAATTTTAATAGATATATAGTGAAACTATATAGTAAACAATTTAAAAATATATAGCATACTAGATCTACTTATGTTGGCTGGGATTCTTGATATAAATAGTTTATAGTGTATCATGGTATAATGGATATCAACATGGTTGTTTGAGTAAATATGCAGCCCTGTACACTGTTAAATTCTATATTAACGAATTATGAAAGCACGAACTATAACTTTAACATAGTTTAAACCTAATTTAATATTCAATCAAAACAAAAAATTGTCATATGCAAGCATTGTGACCACTTTCGTATCTCAGCACACGAAACAACAAAACCATGCACATAATAAAAATTGAATCCGTAATCATCACAACTTTGTTATAGCAAATGTTACAAAAATTGACTGGTATTATAACATTAATTTATAGAAAGTGCAACAACGTTAAAACTCACGAACGAACTAACAATGGACAGAACACCTCAACAGCATCGACAGTACCAACAACATCAAATTCACGTACGAGGAAGAATTCGATCCAAAAATTCCGTTCCTCGACACACTCATCCATAAACGAGAAGATGGTTCACTAAAACGGACGGTGTATAGGAAAAAGTCCCACATACACTTAAACTTCAACTCACACCACACAGTCAACCACAAACTGTCAGTGGTACGGTCGCTACTTGATCGTAGGGACAAGATCATAACGGAGAGTGAGGACCGGGAAGCTGAAGTGCGCCACATCAAGAACGCACTAGGAAAATGCGGCTACCCCAATTGGACACTCGAAAAAGTGTCCAAGGAGATGAACACATCACGGGAAAAAAATACATCCCAAAAGAAAACCTCCATGGAGAAACCGAAGGCGATGATTGTCCTACCCTATGTCAGAGGGGTCACGGACGTAGTTCAGCGTCACCTAAAAAATGCAGGTGTGGCTTCAACAGTTAGACCGTTTGAGACCCTAAAACGGCTTTTGGTACACCCTAAGGACAGAACAGATATGCACAACATTACAGACTGTATCTACAAGATACCGTGTGCAATGTGTGAAAAAAGTTACATTGGAGAAACCGGCCCAAAATTTGAAACCTGCCTAAAGAACACAAAAAGGACGTAGACACCGTAGCACCCAAATCGTTCACAAGGGCCCAACGAAAACAGTCGGCTACCAAAATCACCAAATCGGCGATCACTAACCACGTAGCAAAGGACAATCACACCATCGATTGGGAGAATTCGAAGATCATCGATCGCAAGCCAATCAAAATCAGGAGTTGGATTAAGGAGGCCATCTGGATCCGCAAGACCCCAAACATCAACCGGGACGAGGGGGGATACAGGCTTAGTCACGTGCAGACTAAGCTATTGACCACCACACCATGTGGTGGTCAAAACTGATTATCATCAGTTTGCTTTGAGAAAGCCTCCTGGCAGGAGGTGAAACGTCAGAGGTATGTTCTTCACGATTGAGTAAAAATTAACCCTGTTATATATATTAGACTACCAACCGAATGAACTTATTTAATGAGTTAAAACTCACGTTTCGGCAAGCATATCAATATGCTGTATTTCCTCCCTTAGGGGCTTCAGCTCTCTTTCGACATTATCTTGTCGTACATTCAGAGAGCGCACTGCCTGCATGGAAGACACTGCCACTGGTGGCATATGAAGTGCAGCTGACTTCTCTTTGATTCTCTCCTCTAGCTCTACACATTTGCAGTCGAATAGATCCAGGCTGCACCAAAGGAAAAATGTATATGGTTGCAACATAGATACGCTCCAATTTTCGGTTTATTATACTCGACTTCAACCTTCCTATCAGAAATATAACCGCAGGACACATTTAATTATAAAATATTTACAGGTCTACTGAGTAATTATTAGAATTTACAGGCTATAATAAAGCAGTCAGTATTTTTTACATACTCCTGATAATAAAATAAGCCTTAGATGACAATTTACAGAATGATTAAGTTTGATTTGCTTTAAGTAAGTTTTGACAGGTCTGTGACTGCGACTGACAAATGTTTAATGGCAATTACCTGGAGATGCCTTCTAGTGCCTGTTCTTTAGCAATTCGTAGCTCATCCAGATGGTTCCAATGCTCTCTGACTTGTCTCATCTCATCAAGCTGTGCTGTGGGTGCCTGACTGCTTTGGAGAATTTCTGTGTACAATTTTTCAATTTCAGCCAGACGGCCACCATTGGCCACCATATCTGTCATCAACTTCTGAAATAAAATACAGACACATACAGAAGCTACTCCGGAACACAAATATAAGTGCTACCTAACCGACGCAAGGTTTTGTTGTTATTAATGCCACGTCATCAAGAGCTAATAAGACATAATGGGAAAACTGGTAAACAGTGCTATTTTACAGTTATCACCCACTCTTGACATTTACTTACTCACTGTACCATAAGTATCTATCTCTTACTCCTACTTACAAATATTTGGGTGTCATTACTAATAGCGACCTTTGCTGGAATGCACACATTTATTATATTTGTAAGAAAGCGTCTCATTCCTTTGGTATTTTACAACGTAATCTTAGCTTTGCCGATTACAAAAAAAATTGGTCCCTGGCGTTTAAAACAATGGTTCTCCCCAAATTTAACTATGCATTGCCAGGCTGGTGCCCCTACGCACTTCAGAACTGTTCTAAATTAGATGCAATGAAGCATAAAGCTGTGAGATGGGTATCCAAAAACTATTATGATACTTCCGAAGTTGTTCTGGCTTAACTTGATTGGCCTCCACTTCGTGTCTGCTTCCTAATTCCTTCATGCTAAACTTATAACATTTCATAAAATATATCATGGTCAAGTGAAGATTGCCATTTCCTCTGGCTTAAAGAAGCCTGTTCGTAGCACTCGATCATCTGAGCGTGATAATTGCTTTCGACACGTGCCATCTTCAAAGTATCACTTTAAGTTTAGCTTCTTCGTTTCTGTCATTCCATATTAGAATTCTCTTCCTTCCTCTTTGTTTAATTGCAAATTTGAAGCTTTTTTACTGCTATCTGCAGGGTTGAGCTGCCTATTTGATCACCCTCGTCTCTCTCCGTCTTCGATATAGTCCCTACGACTTTGAAGACAAATCATTATGAGGTTACGAGATTATAGGGACAAACGTTCGACAAACGTTCAAACTACTAAGACCTTTTCTAACCCTGATATTGCCAGAATTACGAGATGTGGCTATGTGTTTACTTCAACAGTAACATTAGTCACCGCAACGCTACTCCGTTACTATGCTGTAGTAAGAAGACCAAATTTGGAGAAGTGACGTCATTGTCATTCATCAGCGCTCTAAGCGGAGACGGAAAACGATAGGCAAAAAGCCAAAGCGAGCTTATAGGCTCGGGAGACGTGTTCAACTCGATTTCTACATGCCAGTAACGTCTGGATAAGCTAAGATTACAATCCAATATCTCAGCTTAAGAGTGGCATAGTGACAAGCAGTTGGTTTATACATAGATAGAAAAGAATGCTGCTTATTGCAATACTATCGAATCATTCTAGACTTGCATTTAAAATAGAATAATATTGCCGTAAAATAGCACTATTTCTCTGTTTTCCCATTATACACTATGTATTATTAGCTCTTGATATCATGGATATTCCTACATATACGCAATACCTCATATTTTCTCCTCTGAACTTCGAGGATCTGATGAGATTCATCTGTCTCAATCGCTCTCTCCGTTGTGTTCATCCAAGCATCAAAATCTTCACATTCCCTATAGAATGCGTACAGTACAACTGCCTCCGCCAGACGTTTGTGCCGGTCCTGAAGCAAGAGTCACAATGGCAGATGCTCAAGACATTGATATGTAATGAAATAATTCATTCAAAGAGCCAAGTAGAAAATCAAAGGGTAGTGCTGCAGGACTGTTTGAGTGTAATAAATACTCATCAAGCTAACTGCATAGCACTGCAGTTAAATTAAATTCATCATAACCATGCTCAATGACCATAGGAAGACCAAACGTGTGAGCAGGAGGTAGGAAGAGATATCATAGTAGTAGGAAACACCAGACATGTGAGCAAGAGGAAACATACGTGGGAGCAAGACGAAACAGACGTGGAGGCACGAAAGAAAACCAGACATAAGAGCAGGCTGTAACACTAAACGTGATCGTTGTAGAAAGTCTACTGTTGTTTCATACTCGTTTGCACTGAAATATCGTACTTCCGCCTTACTCCTGGCTCTGGGTGGGGGGGGGGGGGTCGTGTACATGACTCTTTTAGAGCAAAACCTTATATTTTCTCATTCCTTATGGTAAGACTCTCAAAAAAAGTTTGGGTAACACCTCCAGGCCAAGTATGTTTTTTCTGTACAGCCCATTATGTGATTTTCGGTTAGGCGCCAAAGTGAAAAAATGACAACATTGAAGTTTCAGAGCATAAGTCTTTATTAAGCAACCATAAACTTTCAAATTGCACTGAATTACATTGAATAAGTATTACTAACAACTTTCTAGCATAATTTGTTTCCATAAACGTTGTTTCATAGTATGAAACGGCTACATTTTGCTCAATTTTAGCAGAAAAAATAGCAAAAAATCGCAGTCACTTTGAAATAAGCTCCAAGTATGATTGCTTCTCACTCGCCCAATATTGTAGCTAGATTTACCAAAATTGGCCAAAAGTTTCCTTATTAAGTGCTCTAATTGACTCAAGCTTCATAATGATGCCTTCCGGCTCTATACAATGCATGGGGGGGGGGCTGTTGTAACACAGGGTCAACCCTACCTCCAAATAGCAGCCTTTAGCAAATTTCATCAAATGATGATAACTCCTTACGTAAGTGCCCTAGGAAGTTGATTTTTGTGGCTACATATAGGTTTTTGACACCAAGGAATTGATTGCACCATTATTATACATTTTGAAGTTCACCTAATTAAAGGAAGTATGAGATATCTGTCACAGCTGGTTCAAACAGAAATCCCAATGTATTGTGACAAAGGGGTATACTGTATCGTCAAGGAAATTCAATTGATGAGACCGCAGGAATTCAGCACTCTAGTCCCATGCTTGGGGACATTTCACTTGCTGAAAACTGTTTTGAAGTACATAGGAAAAGCCAAGTGGAGCCGACATGACCTGGCTACAGGCCAGTGTCATTGGTCCAACCATTATTCAGAACTCAGTTCTCAATGGAGGGCACTACAACTGTTGTCTTGAATGCATGCAACTCCTTGTTGAAACGTTCCAGCATCTACTCTACAAAGAATTCATTGCAGAAAGAGGTGTTGAGCCTCATGTGACAGCCATATTCACCAGAGCTTGCTATCATGACAGACCTCAAATCAAGTGTTACGAAGAAGAACATCACAGACAGTCAGAAGTTGATGGGCAGGTTTACTGCAACTGCATCCAGCAAGTTATTTGAAGATCTGAATTTGCTGTGAATGAGAACTTCGGATTCTGGGTTCAGTTCCTCTGCATGATGGCTGTGGTGCATGATCTGTTGAAAGCAGATCGTGAGGGGATATGGGAACTTCATCTTGATGCCGTGCAACGTGCTCTCTACCTATTCGCCGTCTTTAACTCGACCAACTATCTTCGCAGGTGCTCTGTCTACCTGGATGACATGCAGTGTTTACCTCAAACTGCACCATCAGTCCATGACAACTTATCAAATGGGAACTTTTCCATCAAGGAGAAACCCAGCTGCTTCACTGCAGTCGGTGGTGGCCAGAAGCTTGAGCAACCTATCAACCTATCATCTAAATGCAGTGATAGAATCATAGGGCATGCCAAGCAGAAGCAGTACGTTGCTCAATGGGACTTGATCTACCATGAAATGATGGCAGTAGAGAATCTGCATCGGAGATATGCTGATGTGATGGAGAGCACACATGAGTCCTTTAACCTCAACGAGTCATCCCAAGCTACTACAGTTCGCAAGGAGTCCAATATTCAAGCAATGGTAAATTTCATTGAAGAGAAGGGCTCCCCCATGCCTCTAGGGGCTTCCCCCATGCTGCATAATTTCGTGACAAATAAGATCATGGCAAAAGACATAAAAAATTACATACTGAGTGCCTTCGCAAAAGGAGAAGAAAAGTACTTGACCTTTCGACTCAAAAGGTTCGTACATAAAAAACTTTCACTTTAGTGAAAGCATTCATCGATCAAACCTGAAAACAATGAAAACAAATCGATTACAAGCCACAGAAGACCGTCAAGAAAACAGTGACGAACATGAATGTTGTAGGGGGAACGACTGAAATCGCCTGTGATCGTCACCTCACCCATAGTGTAGGAGATAGCAGAAAAATCGTGCAAATGATGATACAAGCATCAAACTTGGCACACTTGTTTTCCAAGTGATACTAATCAAATCTGCCAGATTGGCCAATTGAAAAGGCAAGATGGCGGCCATTTTTCAAGATGGCCGCCAAATTAGCCTTCCGAAGTGGACGTTTTGCCTTGTATTGTAGGTATTTGTAGTTGTCCAATTTGCATGATCTAGGTGTGGATTCCTATGTTTTCAAGTCTGCGGAAGTAGATTTTCCTGTTTATAAAGCACACTGACACATATTTTTCTCACTTTGCACATTTGTTTATGTTTTTTATTTTCATACGTTTGCATGGCTATGGGGTGTAGGGGTGTAGTGTTAGAGGTAGTACCTTTGTTTCAGCAGTCAGCCTGTTTTACCTAGAACAGGCTGTACCACCATCACTGCTTTCCAAGGACCGTGAGCCACCTTTTGCAGTCTACATGGGCCTGTATGTGTTTGCCAAGATGAGGAAGAGACAAATCATTGAAATGCTCCATGAGAATGGGCTCAGCATATTATACGACAGAGTCCTAGAAATCCCAGCACAGTTAGGAGAAGCAGTTGTTGCACAGTATGTGGAAGATGCGAGTAATCTGTCCCCCAGTCTTGAGAAAGCAGTTGTTCACAACTGCAGCAGTGGACAACATAGATCATAATCCGACTGCCATCTTTCCATGGTACATTTTGTCCAGTGTGTCCATTTTCCAACATCCAAGCACTGAAAAAGCTGGCGATAAACGTGAGCCGCTCAAACTTGAGTAAGAAATGAAGGTTAAGAAAGTTCCAGAGCTTCCAGTAGCATACACCAATATTCGACCAGCATACATCACGAAAAACCCCAATCCTCCTCCAGTAGCAAGCCAATCCATACCAGCACCCGAGTCGATCTGGTCACACTTGAAAGAAGAATATTCTTGGTTGGAGGAAGTCTTCCTCACTGAGGATGTGGCTGATGCCGTCAGCATCACGTGGTCAGCCCACCATGCAACGCAAAAAAGAGCCATCCATTTGAAGTGAGCATTTCAGCAATGATGCCTCTGTGGCGAGACCAGTCTCACTCTGTTGCAACGATCAAGCATGCCACGGCGAAGGTCTGTGATACAGTGGCCATCCACAAGTCAAGAAGAGAATTATCTGCCCTGGCGATCGATCAAGCACACGAGCACAATAATGCAGTGATCAAAGGCGATAGAGGAGCAATTGGGTTGACAGAAGACCCGTCAGCACTTCGTTGGTAGATGGTCGCTGGACCCGAAGTTAGTCGTCTAGTAGCTGGATACGAGGCCATGTCTGGTATGAAAGATGCCACCTACAGCAGCAGACACCATGAGCAGACACTGAGTGCCCAGAAATCTTTCTTTGAAAAGGTTAAATAATTATCGGCAACCCATTCCAAGAAGAATCAGCCGACCTGCTGGTGCTAGACACGAAGAACATTGCAGACCCAACTCTAGCTGAAATGGTAGCTACACATCACCGGCAGAGCAAAGAGCAGTTCCAATCATTCATGGAGGGGCTAGAGGATGAAGGTGAAAGTCCTTTCTATCATCCAATCAAGAAAAACTGTTTCTTTCTTCAAACAAGAGCAGGCTGAGGGAATTTCTGAGGAGAAAGTCCTCAAAGACGACTGTCAGTTATTCTCGCGACTGTTCATTTCGTGCCAGAACAGGCAGTGTGACTTGCAAGAATTTTTCAAGCACAAGAATCAGTCACACCCTGCATCTCTCAGTGACATCGGCAAGCTTCATGCGTGTCAGAAGTCACAGCTGGTTGAAATTCTTGAAGCGCATGTGAACATCCCAGACAGAAAACCAAAGGGAGATGCAATCATCATTGATGGCTCAGCACTTATCAATGCCTTACCTCCACGTACTTCAAAGACATTTGATGACTATGCTAGAGAAGACATGATCCCAAAGGTGAAATCCTATGGTGCCAGGTACGAGCGGGTGGACGTAGTCTTTGATGTGTACAAGAAGTCAAGTCTGAAATCCGAGACGAGGTCGAAAAGGGGGCAAGGAATCAGAAGAAGAGTGACAGGAACGAGTAAGACACCAGGTAACCGGCAAAGCTTCCTTCATGTCGCCAGCAACAAAACTGAGCTGCTTCCCTTCCTTGCGGAAAAGATGTGTGAAGCAGAGACGACAAGCACAGTCATCGTCACAAAAGGAGAAGATGCCATTAGCAACACAAGGAAGTCTCTGGATGCGGTGTCCCCATGTTGTCATGAAGAAGCTGACAGTCGAATATTTGTACACACCAGGGATGCAACGACTGATGGGAGCAAGTCTATTATCATTAAGACTAATGACACGGACGTGCTAGTCATAGCAATATCTATTCTGCCATCCTTACAGGAACTAGGTATTGAGAAAATGTGGATTGCCTTTGGCCAAGGAGCCAAGAAAAATGGCCACCATCTTAGATTTTCAATTGGCCAATCGGGCAGATTTGATTAGTATCACTTGGAGAACAAGTTTGCCAAATTTGATGCTTGTATCATCATTTGCACGATTCCTCTAAAAAATTGCTGTTATCTACCCCACTACTAGGGCTGTCATCGATACCCACCTCATCGATGAATCGCGATGGATTTGCGACCGATATCGATATCGAAATAAAACGAAAAATAGCGATACGATACAGTATATAAAAATAAAATGTTGGTACATCTTTACGCCAGCGAGCTCGTGTTCATTTTACATACGGCCAGGCCTGCACAATACGCTGAAACGTACATGTCTAGACGCATTGTCTGGCTTGCTTGATACAATGTGTACCATCATGTTCGCTGACCTTAGCCCACCCCGATTATCATCCGCCACGCTTTATATGCTTATACTATACCCACTGTATAATGCTAGTGTGGCGTAGTAATGGATACGTCATGGTAGCAGCGAGACCGATGAGAATCAGGGTGCCTGAGCCCGTATCGTGCACACTCGCTCTACGCGCGCACTCGCTCAGATGCGCTGCCGTATAAAGTTGATAACCCAACAACCACTATCCCGATTTTGACGATTTTGTATAACTATCGAAGCAGGATACCAAGCATTGGAAATCTGGCATCCAACACAAAAATCTACTATCCCGCGGATATCGGGGTACCGCTGCAAAATATCGTTTCCGTCACTACATTATTTATTGTCATACAATCTTTTTATTATATACATACTCCATACACTAGAAATCTTTTTGAGATTTCATATGCCTGTCTGATAAAAGGTTAAATTCCTTTTTTCATTCAGGTCCAGAAAAGGAAAAAGAATGTGTCGGAATATTTTGCTAAAGTTTCTTTTGCTACATCATGTAGGAAAGCGCTAGCTTCACAGATTGTTGCCCATCATTCTATAATAGTGCGCGGCACAGACGCAATCACAATAAATCACGCCATATCCGCCGTGCGACACATATTAGTGATCCCGCCGTAATGCACCTGCGTCACCTATTAGGGACCGGATTTGTTGACGCCAAACGCGCAGGTAGAGAGAACTCGGTTTTGATCCTTTGAACCGTATAGTCCAGTTTTCGCTGCGCTCCCGATCTTTCCTTCCTATTCCTTCTATACTCTGCCTTTCCACCTTCACCTTCCACCTTCCACTTTCCACCTTCACCCCTGCCGTGCTACTTCGCGATCAACGTCTTACGGTACGAAATTACTGATATTCGGTTACGATTCTGTGTGTGTGTGTAGTCATCTGTGTAGTATCTTGGAGTGTTTGGTTAGGCTGTTACAGTGCATATCCTGTGGCGTAATCGAAGAAACGGAGAGTAGCTTTAGAATACAGTGTTTGTGTTATCTACCGACGTGACCTGACACTACCCTTAAGGGAACACTACCTCCCACATGCTAAACCGTAGAACCTGGAACGGGAAGAGAAGAGCTTCCTTAGAATTATGTTTTATTACATATTACATCGAATCGGATTGAATCGGATCGAAATATCGAAAACAAAAATAGCAGTAATCGAATCGAAATAATTTCATACCAATGACAGCCATAGCCTCACCACCGAGGACCTCTTAAAATATGATGTTGCACCTTCACCTCTCCTGTTCAATGAGGACGGGATAATGATCAGCACAGGGAAGAGCCTTTTGGTTAAGGAGTTGTAGACTAATCTCAAACCTGAGGAGTATGACTATAGCCATCGGAAGAACACTTCATTTGACATAGACATAATGGCCACAGTTCGTAGAGCTCGTGTGACTAGCCTCTCCAGCGTCAAGCATCTCCTTAGAATTTTTATCCATTTCGGATGTATATACCATCAGTTTGGGCGATGTGACTATGTGTTCGACATGTACTCAGATGAACCCTCAGTGACGGATAGCGAGAGAAAGAGGCGCACTGAAACTGTACCAATCGAGTACAGTTCAATTAAACCAGGGACACCTCTACCAAAGGTGGTGGAGAGATTCTGGTCTTCAGACATGAATAAGCTTCTTCTCGAGAAGCTAATCTACTGCCATCTTCGTTCAAATACTTCCGAAATATTACAATATCCCATTGTACTCAGACAAGTGACCAAGGAAGACGAGGATTGGATTGCATCATGGTATATCAAGTCCAGGAAAAAGCATTGCCCCACACCATAAAGTGCCTTTTGAAGAAGCTGACCTCCGAATACTCATCCACGTCTTGGACTCTCTCAATGCAGGACACAAAGTGTGTAGTGTGTTGTAATCTGCAACGATACAGATGTCATTGTTGCTCTGCTCTACCACCTGCCGGTCTTTCACCAAACACAACTTTGAGGAGCTGTGAGTGCGAGCTGGGATGGGAGATCCAACTCGATATATACCCCTTCATACTCTGTTCCAGCGCCTGAGAAATCGACTATGTGCAGTACTGCCAGCTATACAGTCTTACAGCAAGTAACATAACCAGCAAAGTTGGTACAAAGAAGAAAGCTTCTGAAACACTTTGGGGAATCACCAACCCTCTCTCCGGCCATGACCCGCAATGCCAAACATTACCTAGTGAAGGTGCTGAAAAGAGGTAGCGATGCTAAATGTTTCTCTGAATATCGAGCAGAGGTCTTCCACTTCAGCCAAGAGGGTTCTCTCCACAGCCTACCTCCGACTAGTCAGGGACTCCTGCCTCATATCAAGCATGAATTCTACAATGCCTACACCATCAGCCATGCATTGGCGTCCCACCTCGATTTTGAAAACGTTGAGACACTGAAGCCAGAGGATTGCGGCTATGTGAACGACCACGCACAGCTGGTACCCGCAACATCGTGGAAAACCCTCGAGCCTCATTGTTCAGTCTCCTGTTCATGTGCTAAGTGTACAAATTCAACTTACCCATGTAGAAAGGCTTGGATGAAATGTTGTAAATTTTGTCGGTGCTGGAAAACATTACCACATGCTTGTAAAAACCCAATTGTTTGATAGGATTAGGCTGGGTTCTGGTGGGTTGTCTAGCATGCTTAACCTCTGCCATTGTAGCTGAAATTCGGTTAGGATAGATAACATAATTGAATATGGTAACAGGGAATATTTTAGAAGAGCGAAAGCGTCCACCTGTACAGTTCTATGATGCATGTATATCCTTCAATCATCTTTCTATGGGATAATTCATGTCTTAATTATCGCTTTTAGCAGACATCTTATACTTCCTCTAAGTAGGTAAACTCCAAAATGTATAATAATGGTGTCAATCAATTCCTTGGTGTCAAAAACCTATACGTAGCCACTAAAATCAACTTCCTAGGTCACTTACTTAAGGAGTTATCATCATTTGACAAAATTCGCAAAAGACTGCTATTTGGGGTTGCTAGTTGACCCCGAGTTACAACAACCCCCCTATGCATCATATAGAGCCCGGGGGCATCATTATGAGCTTGGGTCACTTAGAGCACTTAATAAAGAAACTTTTGCCAAATTTTGGTACCTCTAGCTACAATAGTGGGCGAGTGAGAAGCAATCATACTTGGAGCTACTTTCAAAGTGACAGCGATTTTTGGCTATTTTTTGGCTAAAATTGAGCAAAATATAGCCATTTCGTACCATGAAACAAAGTTTATGGCAACAAATCATTCTAGAAAGTTGTTAGTAATATCTATTGAAAGTAATTCATTGTAATTTGAAAGTTTATGGTTGCTTAATAAAGACTTATGCTCTGAAACTTCAATTATTGTAATTTTTTCACTTTGGTGCCTAACCGAAAATCACATAATGGGCTGTACAAAAAAAACGTACCCCCCAGAGCCTAGAGTACCTACTATATTTCAAAACGCAAACATATTAAACAGAAATACGACTGACCTGTGACGATTTACACAGCTTTTGGTATGTGTCGGTAATCTGCTTTTGCATTTTCTCCACATTTTCCTTATCATAGTGAAGAGTGCTGATAGATCGCACTGCACACAAAATATACACATAAGTAAATGTGGTGAGTGCTAATGTTGATTTAAATAGACTTTATACGACGTGTATTGGCTACAGGTTCGGCTTACTTTACAGAATCGTATGTTACCGAGTGAGGATAAGGGCCATGTTTAGGGTTACACCATTTGTGATTTCCATCGTAGTATAGTTGGGCGAGATGCTGAAAACAATAGTAGACTCATACACATAGCTCAATAAAAATAATGATATATCTTAATATTTTTCCCTTATGCTTTATAACACACCACGCAATAGACAATAATATTTAATACAGAGACTGATTGCTATGGGCTGGATGCATCACGAGAATATGGCACAGTAACTACAAGTAGATTTTTCCTTAATCTGAGGTTATACACGCAATGTTTGGCCAACATCCCGCAAACTCAGTCAGAAGTGATTGAACTCATAGCTTTAAGCGCATCCCTCAAGGAAATAGAGTACATATTAGTGGGTTGGTCGGTCACAATATAAAGTAAATATAATAAAAATCGAAAGCAAATTGTGGCAAACGTGAGCCTACAAATGCCTGCGAATGCCAGGAGGATGCGGCATGGCAACGGGAATCTTCTCTTCTAGAGTTGTGGGGTTATTTGAGAAAGTTGGTATTATAATTAACTCACTGTTTAGGGGGACCGTAGCAATGTCTACAGTAAAAAACACAACAATAATAAAATTTAACATGCTGCTACTAACAACATCCCATGTGGGCCATTTTATAGATGCTTTGTTCTGCATATATTATAGCCACGTTTCTGTTTATACATGCATCTTTTTAAAAGAGAGTCCCTGGCATGCAAATGAATTGGAATTAGTAATAAATAAAAGAAAACAGATTGTAATTTTTGTAGAGTAGTTCATAGGAGCATGTTTATGTATTGGTAATTGTTACCTGTGTATAAGAGAACAATGCCTACTGCACCGCACTAAACGACCACCCTAATGGACTAATTATAAGCTCGTATTATGGATTGAATTCGGAATGACATATACAGCCCATAAATTAATTTAATGTTGGTTTAGGAATTAAAATATACAATTAATCTTATCTGTTGATAGAGTAATTAATATATCATAATGACACACACTTGACACTCAAATTCATTAATGAATTATGAAAGAGCATAAGCTAATTTAACATAGCACTAATATCAATATACTTAGGCTGGGCCCTTCTAAGCCTTAGTCACATTGGCTCAGAAGCTAAGCAGATTTAATCACGAATTTAGTATAAGCTATCAGATACCTATATTGTCAACAGCTGCAATATCACAAATAAGCATTAGCCAGTAATGCATTGATGAAATAGGAATCCTTCCAACAACAATACGACAATGAATATGCATTTCCAGAGGATGTATCATATTCAAAGCGTATCAGACACAGAGTAAGCACTCACGTGACAGAGTTCTTCTCACGCTCTGTGATTTGGGCATCGGGTCTTTGTGATACTCGATCTTCTTGACTTTCACCATTTTCGTGATGGTGATAGGTTCCATGGTGACCGTTGACACGCTGCGAGGCTCAATTTCCATCACGTACGTCACTGGAATAAATCCCTGCTTCCCATCGGGCTGCGTGACATTCCACCAGTCTTTGTTTGCTTTTTTGTTCAGTATCAATACCTACAAACATTTTAATGATAGAGTACCAATCCAGTATAGGCAATGCAATGTTAAAATTTCAGAAGGAGGTAATGTTTTATACACATGCGAAAGAGAAACTGTTAAATGATATAATACATCATAGATGAACCACTCTTTCGTTTTCGAAAAGAGTATATAGCCATTTTCACTGGAATTTGTGTCATTTACGTAAATTTAAAAAATAAAAGCACAGTGCGCATTAACATATAGGATACATTTGATGGACAAAGGGAGTCAGCTCTTACCTATAATTACACTACATTCCGCACTGATACTGAATAGATGTTTACTAAAACGTTAATGCAACTATGATGGTGCAGGCTTTTGTAAGTGGTGTGGAATCGTGCAATAATTTTCAAAGTAATTTTTAATAGTCAAGCGATGCAGCCAACGTGAGTAGTGAGGACAAGCAACTGTGTTGGGCCTCATATCTGCATCCAAGCGATTATAGATACGCACGCTCTGTACGCGCACCTCTAATGTGCTAGTGTTGATTGAGAGATTCCCATGCTGTGATGCTTATATATACGATTATAGGTGAGGCCAATATATACAAATATTTTTGCTCCTCTAATAATAACCACCCGTGCCTGACCTGCCCTGCATCACGGCACCATTAAATTGCAGACATTTAAATATAAGCCGGTGAATCTGATTATGTGATCATAAAACGTAACGGTTTAGCACACTAATCGCAATCGCACTATCGCATTCGCAGGTGTGTGTAAGTGTGTGTGCGCGCGTGTGTGTGTGCGCGCGTGCGTACATGCGTGCGTGTGTGTGTGCGCGCGTGCGTGGTGTGTATGTGTGTGTGTGTGGGTACAAACATACAGTACACGCGTACGTAAATCTGCGGCATCAATAATCATTACAATACATGGTAAACTATTAATAGCTTAAATTTAAATACACAACTTTTGTCATATTCTTAATGCAGAGTTAAAACAAATTATGTTGTTGCAATAATGTGCATAATAAACAGCCAAGATTATTTTTTATTACGAAATCTATTATTTCATGGTAGTTTAGTGCGAATTTTGTATTTTTATGGGTTTTGAATACACCAGAGTTCTCCGCTAAATTTAATTAGCGGGATGTGCAGAGCACACGCACACGTTGTCCGCTAAAATACGGTAAATAACGAGCGACTTTAGCGAACAGACGTTCGTGAAATTAACGCGTCCTCTGCTATTTAGAGGACAACTCGGGAAATTGCGGAGAAGAAATAGCGAACGGACGTTTGTGAAACGCGCCCGTGGTGCTCTGCATCACGGCAGCTATAGGCATTGAATTGCAGAGACTTAAATATAAGCCGGTGATTATGTGATCATAAAACGTAACGGTTTAGCACACTATATAATTGCAATCGCACTATTACCAGGTATGTGCGTGTGCGTGTGCGTGTGCGTGTGCGTGTGCGTGTGCGTGTGTGTGTGTGTACTGTGTATGTGTGCGTGCGTGCGTGCGTGCGTGCGTGCGTGCGTGCGTGCGTGCGTGCGTGCGTGTAGCATACGTATCTATACATATAATAATGAAGCATGGGTTATGGTAATTAGAATGACTAATATAAGCTGTAGCAATAGGATTTTCTGAATCACTCATTGTGTGCGCACCTCTGAAATATGCAGGCACGCGAAATGTGCCACGCGATATTATAATATTACAGGGCCGTAGGCAGTGGGTGGGGCAGAGCTGCCCTCACTCATAGGCGATATAGATACTTGATTACGTGATCGATGGCGAACTGACGACGGTTAAATGTCAAGAAGACACACTGCACGTGGCTTTACCCCCAACAAAAGTTATGAGGCGTTAAGAGTAGATAACGTTATAGTCTATCGCTAACACTAATGCTATAGTTATAACATTGGTGTTATATCGCTGATGTTTTATCTTGGCTACCGATAGTTCAAGTACAGCACATTACTCACGTCTTCCTTTTGAACGTCCAGGTTGTGCTGGTTGTACGTATACATAACCTCTACTAGTGGTATAAGTTTCACTTCTTCCTTCTCCTGCATGACCTCCTCAGTCACCTCCTCCTCCTCCTAAAGCAGGAAATCAACCAGTAAAGCGCATGGCAGGTGAAGCAGAGCTAACAGAGAAACTGCATATATCCACGTGTGGCGGCCACGCAGTCAGTTTTTATAAAGACAATGCCCAACTGTCATAGAAATGTGATGAACCTAATAAATTTGTGGTAAGAAAGATGCACGAATAAGGGAGACCAATCAGAAGGATAACGTAAAATCAGCATACCTCTACTTCGTAAGGAACCAAATGATATGCAACGTCTTTACTCTCCTCTGTTGTGATTTGTCTCACTACATCAGCAGGGTCAATCTGCAACAATAGATAATAGAAATGAATATATAAATAAATAAATAAACATATTAGTTAAAAGGTTGTGAATGCACAAGTAAACGCTGCAACGTGTAACGCTGTAAACGTGCACATCCGTACAGGTCACTCTGCTTGTGGCATCTTGGGTGCTACTGTAAAAACGACCTACGTGAATAAAAAAAAAAAGTAAAAACACCAAATGGTAAACGAGTGAATCAGTTTAGTATTTATCTAGTTATATCAGAACAAACGTTCTTTTTTTATATACTCTCATGACAATTTTATTGTAATAAATATTTGTTGTATTTAAAAATTTAGTGTATAATTTTAATATTGTTAGATCCTGCCATAAAAGGACATCATTATATATATGAATTATCTTATATTAGTGGGGCGGTTTACCTAGGATATTCAAACCTATTGTGCATTTTTTGATAAAAGCACCATTTTTGGCACAGAGGTAGACCAATATATTATAAACAAATTTGGATGTGGAGCCATCGCCCAACCGCCCCCTGGCGGCCGTGCAAATGTCCGCCAGCAGACACCCAAAAGACACACAGAAGTTAGATAAAGTTTTCTGCTGAAGGTTTTAGTGAATGTTTATTGAATGTTTTGAATCAAGACATGCCAGATAGCTCTTAGTCACATTTTGGGAGATGCTGCTGATATTAATTAACATATTTAGGCTAATTGCAGATGAAATGCCGACAAGGAAACCCATGATCAGGCATCAAATGCTGAAATTCCTTGTGAATAGGCTAGATTCATTTAAGTTGTGGAAATGTTATCTGACCTTCTTCCTCTGTCTGTCAATAGCTATTCATAGACACTGCCCACGCCAATTAAGATGCCAATTAACAAAATAATTAACACAATTAGGCTAATTACATCGATAATACAACAACAATAACAGAACCAGATAGTGATAATTATGGTGGCTTGCTCTCATCAGATCAATCATTGGCAAGTCAAATGTTATACTTCTGTGGTCAAGGGACACTACTACATTTAATTATCATGTTAATTAACACATAATCTGCTAAATGCAATATGCAGATGTTCCTTTCATACAACTATGTCAGAACAGTGTCTGCCGCCTCTACCACCAGGAGCAAGTAGTCTGCCCTCCCAAGATGAGAGGCAGAGTCTTCACGACTGCCGCGGTAGACAATATTGATCACAACCTAAGTTCCACCACAACAAAACAGTCATTCCATGGAACTGCTATTTCCCATATGCAACACCCTGCGGTCCCTGGGGCCGGCATTTGACGCAGCATCACCATCCTCGGAAGCCGAACGAAAGAGGCCTCAAAACAGTTGACCGTTTGCTGCACTACTATACAGATTTCCCATCCGTCGGCAGCATCAAGAACACCCCCGTGCCGGCTACCAGCGTGACATCCCTGAGCAGCAACAGCGGCCTCAAGCAACATGCTGAAAGAGAGTATCTCTGGCTAAAACACACCCAAGTCGCCCTACAAGAAACTTCTCCAGTGGAGAACACTTCATATATATACTTCACTATATATACATATATCAAAACAAACCTTAAAATCTATTTACATTCAAACTAAAACTTATGACACATATTAGGAGTCATATGTGTTCCCCATCAATTCCCCATCAATGAAACCCCACAACATTGATGGGGAATAGTCTATAGTAACTTATTTTTTTACTATATTTCGCTGGAACCATGCTCACCACTTATGGCGACATTTTAACACTAATCGGTGCACAACACCGACAGTTACAGGCACTTGAACCGTTTTAATAATAAAATTATTGTAAAGAAACACAAATTACATTTTACTACAAATGTCCTAATGTTTATGTATTGATTCTCCATCGACTAATGTTTCCACGCAAATGCCACTCAAATGCTCCGTTGCAACACACAATCTCTCCACACGCACGCCACTGTGCAGAAACTATGCACTCTTTCTGTGAGTTTGTATTAGTAGCAATTATCGTAAACGTCAGAACACAATCTAACTGCACGCACGCCATGCACTGTGCATAGTTTGTGCCTCGTAGCGTGCGTGCGGTGAGATTGTGTGTTGCAGAGGAACATTTAAACGGCATTTACAGAAAATTATTACTAAGAATAGGCAAAAAAGAGTATACAAATATTAAAACTGGTAAGTTATACTATTCGTGTTTATTTACTATCATTTTATTATTGATCGAAACGATTTTCACTCCTGAAAGAAAATACAGCTTCAGTAATCTGTCTGACCGTACAAGCCAACAAAATGGCCCCTTTCTGTCTAAGTAAGAACGACACGGAACACACATCAATTAAACCTTTCGCGTCTTTTTTTTCGGTCGATACCAAGAAACAAAAAATTGAATTAATTTCTATTCCTCACATATCTTCCTCTTCGTGGCAATGCAATGCAATGAAACGAAACGAATAGATATCAAGGCTGGCCCCTCTAGCTAGATTATCAATGCCCCTCCTGATATCGACGCCAATAAACAAAAACATGAATCAAATATCTCTCATGTTGGTCTGACCTAGCTGCGGTCTGCCTATGTGCGCCAAAGAAAATTAGCAAAACAAAGATGTGTGCCCTTCACTTTCAACACACTCGCTTTCATCGTCTCTTCATGACACCAAGAGCTAATAATACCTATTATTAGCTCTTATTAGCTATTTTAGCTATTATTAGCTCTAATAGAGGTATATTATTAGCTCTTGATGACATTCTGTATGTGTGCACGAACAACCCGCAGCTAATAACACGTAAGATGCGATCGATGATTTGTAGGCCCCTATAGAAGTATAGCGGTGGTTCTTTATTTACGATATTGTTGTATCTTACACAAAAATTACAGATTTTAATGCATCTTTTTAATTTATTTAATAAAATAAAACATTAGTAAAAATTCCAGGGACCGTTTTTAGTTCATACTATGAACAACTTGTGGCTAAAGGTTCAGGTTCTACTGTGAAGGTTGTGTCTGATATAGATGTGTAAAGTTTGTGTCTGATATAGACGTGTAAAGATTGTGTGTCTGATATAGACGTGTAAAGATTGTGTCTGATGTAGACGTGTAAAGATTGTGTCTGATGTAGACGTGTAAAGATTGTGTGTCTGATATAGATGTGTAAAGTTTGTGTCTGATATAGACGTGTAAAGATTGTGTCTGATGTAGACGTGTAAAGATTGTGTCTGATGTA